GTTCTCAGACCTGGAGGCGGTCACAAAACGCAAAATTACATGTTCAAATACAACAGAAATTATGTCACCATTGCTGAGATTAAAACCGCAATAAAAAGGTTTCTTAAAATCCACTTCGAATTCGCACATTACACTTCTCTTTCTTTCTAATTCATTTGGAATTGAAACGACGAACACCTTTCTAAACCATACGCGATTCCAGACTAAAATGGGCAAAGTCTATGCACAGAAACCATACCCTTTGAGGCGGCACATACCTATATCAAATGGCTTATATAAGAGGAGTACCCCCGCCACCTGGGGACTGGCTAAAGACTTTTGGATTGGAATGAACGGGAGACGGGCTACGTCGATCTGACTATTTATGGACAGAGCTTAACTAACTACTAGAAGGATACAAATATTACAACCTTTTCCAGATATTTCAGACTAGTAAAACGTAAAATTTTCCAGCGAAACATGCACCTCCAAAGTTTACGACCAGATCGTCATTCCACCGCTTCGTACATAACTTCGCCATGCTGATTAAAAAGCAAATGTTAGCAGGGGATTTAGGACGTGGGACAGGGGCCCATCCTGCGTGGGAGAAGGTCCCGGAGGAGTTTATCTGGGAACTGAGTTAAGTGAGCGTACCATGGCATGCTCACAAAATGACTATGCAACCCGATCCTCAATCTGTGATCACTTTTATTCTGAACATTCCAATCTTGAGAAAAAGGGGGAAAAAATTATTACCCTGCGTTGAACCAATGTTTTGTAATTCATTCTAAATTTACTTTTTAAAAGAGACTTCAATTAAGACGAAAAAGAAATCGTCTTGAAAAAAATGCTCAGTGCTATCAGTGAAAACACTCAGTTATCGATATGACGCCCTTTAAGACCAGTTACTGATTTTCTTTCTTATTCCAATACAATTTGTACTCATAAAGTCATTGATCTTAGCTTTATTTGATATTTATAGTTTTCTGTTTTCTTCCATTGCCCCCTCCACAGATCAGTCCTTTACTTGCGGGACGTAATCTTTTTGTTTACCGACTTTTTCAGTGATTGAATAGAGAAGTTGTTAATGGATTTAGTAATGGAACCTTCAGTTAACAAGTTTGTCCTATTACAGGTCTCTGATACATTGCCAACGTGCTTTGCACGAATCCATAAAACCTTGGTAATGAGTACGAAGATAAAATAAATTGCACTTTTGAATGCCGTTACACATTAGTTTAACGTGGACCATTCATGTCATGATACATGCATTGTACAATCTTACTTTTTTTTTTGTAATTTGTAGGTCTCTTTGTAAGCACCCCAGAGAGTTTACTCGCAGGCCGTAGTCTTTTGGTGGGGTTATGTTTACCAACTCGTTCCGCTGGTCAGCGAAGAGCGAGACTGAGGCGCTATCACTAAGTTTCCAGCAGTTGATTAAATTGAAAAGCGGTTATGTTTAAAAGAAATAAAATTTCGCGGTCCTTTTTCTTTGGGTAATTTATTTTTTGCGGGCCAGTTCCGCTAACTTTGCTAATTAACAAATCGACCACATGGCCTACACTCTTATAGACCAAGTTCAAGTTCAAGTTCAAGTTTATTAAAAACACTTTTGATACGAGCCATAATCAATCCTTGCCCTCAAAGTAGCCTATAGTATAGCTAATCGAGGCGGCAAGGAAAAGTAAAAACGTTACAATAATAGGATTGACTCATAACAATAAAGGTAAGCAGATACACGAACATCAACATATTGAATCAACTAGACAGCGAATACATATACTCCAAAGTAGAAATTACGTCATATAATGTTCAAGACTCAAGTGGAATCACTTGCCGCATGCGAGTGGTTTCACTGAAATAACATTTATTTTTAGTTTCCTGCGAAGCTTCTCGGAAAATCACGCGCGAAGCAACGTTTTCTTGTTGCTTTTCGTATTTTGCTCTACTTTTGCAGCTTCAAGCACCAATTAACTCACTGTCAGAAATTTCTCCTCATACCTTAAAATTTGGTTCTTCTTTGTCCATGTTGAGGAGTAAAATTATTTTTACGAAAAACAAAAAACAAAACAACTGGCGCTCCGTGACATGTTACCTCATTTTCTTGGTCTATACTCTCATAGACCATAGCTCTCGACCAATCAGCGTGCGAGGATTTCAATCCAACAAGCCTGGAGAACACCATGGACTATTTGAGTGCTAGTTACATTAATGATAGCAGATATATTATGAATGAGATAATCTCTAAAACAACTGTTCCCTCTTCAGAACTAACTACTAACTGCCTACGATCAGGCGTTTTTCTGAGGAGAAGTGGAGGAGGCGAACACCAAACAGAAAAAAGGCAACCTTTCTCCCTATTTGGGCTATATGTAACACCCTTCCCGACTGTAGTTCCCAAATAAATATAAAATGAAGATGTATGTTGAAGATGTATGTTGTTACCTAAGTATCAAGTCTTTAAAATCTTAGTTTTTTGCAACATGCGTTGTTTCATCATGTTTGCTACTGAAGTTTGTGTTTTATTTTTACTGACGTTGAAATGGCCGAAGAATAAGAGTGTTTAAAATATAAAATAGATAGATAAATAAGTAAACAATTAGTCTTCTTTTTCAACATTGTAATCTATTTCTTTACTGCCCGTTTTACTTTAGTTTCACCGCATTAAAATATTTTTTGATTTTTTTTAGTCTGACAAGTGTCACCAAGAACAACTCACTAACTCAGGAAAGAAGTCTATGGATGTCATAGATCATCAGTTCAGTTAGTTGGAGCAGGGACCGCGGAGGGGGAGGGGCTGGTAGGGCTATAGCCCTACCACTTTTATCGCTGGGATTTATTTCATAGGACTCCAGTTGACATGGAAAAAATTTCCGTGGAATTATTGGACTTCGCCCTATGGAAGAGTGAGATGTTTGCTTGTCAGAACGATTACAACCCGATGTGCGTGCAAGGATAATAAGATGTAAGGCTCAAATGGAGTGATTTGACTTTTTCTCTGCTCTGCATCTTCGAGAGCACCTTTATTGCCACACCGATAATCTATCTAAGGATCTTCAGGGTACTAAGATGGCTGCTGTCAGTGGACAACGCCTGGCAAATCTAACAAAGGGGACGCTCACAAAATTTCGCACTGATCAAAGCTTGGACCATTTCTATGCTAATGTTGCCCGCAAGAGTGAAGGCCTGCTCGGCGAACCAACGCTTCCAAGAAAACGAAACACTCCGGCCAGACTAAAGGTTGGTGCTGGTGCACCAAGCTATCCCCAAACTGCTAAAGATCACATTGTTCGGGCCTATTACGAGGCTATTGATCTTATCGTCAGGGCTATCTATCAGCGCGTTTAATCAGCTGCTATAGATAATGGTGACGACTATGAGGCAGAGTTCAGTTTCTTGAAGCATAATACAGGGAAGATGTTGCGATACAGGGGCGCTACCTAGGCAACTAAGTACTATGGAAGACGGAGAAGATATCATGTTTTGACGAAATCCTGTTGGCAGTGTTAAAGTTTCCAGAACCAGAAAAGAAGCTAATCCAGGAAGTCAGTTAAACTATCTGTAAGCTGCTTGCTGTAAATCCTATTACCAGCGCTGCTGGCGAGGGTTCATTCTCATCCGTACGTACGGCGTCTGAAGACGTGGCGTCGATCCAGGATGGGTGATGAGAGGTTTAGCAATCTAGTAGTAACGTCGAATAGTTACAAGCTGAGAACAGACAGTGTCTCTATAGCTGACGTCGCACAGGAGTTTGTTTCCAGCAATAAGGACCGCAAGAGAAATTTCGGCACTGCTGACAACTTCAAAGTAGCAATTTTAGGAAGGTTTATTCAACATATTGGCTATACTGGATACTATAATACGTGACGACGTTTATGTTATATTTGTTGAGGCTGTAAATAAGATAGTCTATCTTTTTCTTCAGATTTCAAGGGGAAGTGCACGCGCCTGTGAGCGTGTCTCGGGCGTTTTGCTCGACGGACCAAGAGAAAAGAGAGACTGCTCGTAGCCTACGCAAATGCAAGATAAATGGCGAAATACTGAACTTAATGTTTCTTTGTATTGGTAAGATTTTTTAGCCCTACCACTTTAAAATGGTCTCCGCGGTCCCTGTGAAGGATTCCAGATAGGTACGGTACACAATCTAGATGTCTTGAGGATCACTTCATCGTGATAATTACCGTTTTTTTGTTTAAATGTATGTCAGTAATGAAATCATGTAAACGGGACAACAAGTTCAAAGAAATATCACCACATGACAATTACAATCCCCGCGGGGATTTTGGACCGTCACCAAAAACATCCCGCAAATTATTCCTTTCACAAAATATACGCTCATGAATATTTCATCTGAAATTTTTGTCGGCGTTAATATTCAAGATTCACATGATAATTAAACAAGACGGTTTCTTCTAATGGATAAATTGACCGACAATCACTTGACGATATGGAAAGGAATAGAAATTAATGCACATTAGCCATTTACTCTTCCCAGCGTACATTATTATTATTTTTTTTATCATCTGCCCGCGAAATTTAACACTTTCATATTTCAGGTTTCCGGTCTAATAGAGCTCTCACATCTGACTTTCTCTTAAAATCGTTTAATATTCTAAGAAACATTCAAACCTTTAAATTCTCCGTATTATCAGTTGCTCGCTGACTTCCCACAAGATTTGGTTGTTAGGGCTTCTTGACAGTTGTCAAGAACATTGTTGATGACGTAGACTATTCTCTCGTAAAAAAATACAATCGATCCGAAAGTAAAACAATCGATTAACGCTCGTTTTACCCGCTTAGCGCTATCAAAGTAAAGGTAATAAAATATAGATAAGCCCATAGACTCAAAAACATAAGTTTGGTAAAGCAAATAAATCTAACAATTTGTATATTGATCCGGTCAATAATCAGTTGTTATAGAAACAACCTGATCGGCTCATACGCATGCGTTTATCACCTGTCGTGATTGGTGAATTTACGTCACGTGGCGTGAATCACGTTTGTTATTCCACCTGGTCCATTGTCATTTCCCTCGGCCAGTTTATCACGCTGAATTTTCACCCAGTTTCCACAATTTATTTCCAAAGTTAGAAGTTAGACTAGGTTCGTTAAAAACTGGCCAGATTGGTCAAATATCATCTAGAATTTGATAATGTCGGGTTCATATCCGCCACCAATTCTCCCAAAGCTGGCAAGCGGCCTTCCTTTTATAGCACCTAAACCAAGTATGCCAGGCCAGGGTGTTAATGGAAGTCACTCAGACCCAAACAATATGGAAGAAAAACGAGAAAACGGATCTAGCCCAGGTTCAAGATCATCTTCTGAAATTTTCGAAATGGATGCAGATTTGGCCAGAAGGACAAGTCAACGCAAGCGCGCTAAAGTATGTTTCACAGTTTGTCTTCATTATCTAAAATTTGTCATTCATGATATATTATGCAACATTCTTCACTTCACTGTCAACAATACGGTTTTGTGTTGCGCTTTAGCCTTTTAATTAAGGCTTCGGATGAAAGTCTTGCTAGAGCAGAAAAGACTCATCCGAGGTCTTTAGAATCACGTTTTTAAAGGGAAATTTCTCGTGACCTCCGATCCAGGGACTCTAAATTTATGCATCACACTAAATAATCTGTCAAAGCGTCGATTCCTGAGTGGCTGGAAGCTCGTTGGAGTCACATGGCCTTTGTTTTAGCGCATTATTTGATATGTTCCTTGTTAGCATTTGCTAAACGTTCTTGAATTATGGTAAGCCAAAAAGTTGCATAAACTTCGGAAACGCTTCGTTTCCTCTCGGATGGGAGTAAATGAGAGATTTTCGACTAGAAATGAAAGGCACTACGTCACTCCGTAAACAATGAAACTTTGTAATCGCTAACACGCAACGGACGAAAGCTACGGAAATATTAATTGAAACATGCATTCAGCTGGAATTTTATACAGCGCATTTGTTATATTTCATTTGACCACTCTTTCACGGTCCGCCGTCTTCCTTCCTCTTATAAATCAGTTTAATTTTTTTTGGCTTTGCGGGCTATGGAATTGTTTACATATTTCATGCGGGGTGGTCACGAGGCAATGAATTGTCCGCGAGAAGAATGGGCGATTTTCACTCGCTTTATCGTTCATTTATTGTTCGCGTCGAGATTTTCAGTTAAAAAGTTGAGAAATCTGTCCGTCTTGGGGGAATTCGAATAAAGTCCTTCGCATTTTTGGAAGAATTCGCAGCGGATGTTTCCTAATTCAATATAATGGAGGTAAGATTCGTAATAGAGTACCGTAGAAACAAACTTCCTTCGCTACAGTCGTTCCGTTCCGCGAACCATCCAAGGGAAAGCTTGAGGTAAAACAAAATTGTATCTTTTGTCGATAAAGCTTGGATTTAATAGTCCAGGGTGCATGTTAAGGCTTATTTTCCATGGCAAAGCTTGAAACTGGGAAAGATTGTCGATTCATTCAACGAATTCGTCGCACAAGTTGCTTACATGATAGACACGTTTGTTCCATGTGTTTTTGACGCTTGGCGATGAATAGATCTCGGTTTTTTCTTTAGATTCAAATTGAAATTAGCGATTATGTTTTTCCTCAGACTGAAAAATCGTTTAAGGAAATTACTGTGTGTTAGCTCTGCAAACTAAAAAACAAATACAATCTTGCTCTGGTCGTCTTTCTTCTGATGACAATAATATTGCATAACATTGTGAGGGAAATTTTCTACTTGGAGCTTTACAAATTAATTTATTTTCCGCTCATTTGAAGATTGTTGTTTAGAATAGATACAAGTTCCTACAATGTTTGTTTTGGTGTTCGTGTAAATTTCTACAAAGTAAGACCTGTTTCAAATGTGGTGCTATGGCTGTGCTAAGCTTGCTCCAGGTTGAATTCGAAAATTAATAAACAGTTTAGCCAACTCTATAAACTGTGATGAGAGGAAGCAATATGAATAAATTGAAACCAGCCAAGAGGTAAAATATGTGAAAAAAAAAAAAAGAAAACAAACTCAAAATTACCTTAAAAAAAGAGAAAATAACTTTCCTCTGGCAGGAGTCGAACCCCAGACCATTAATATGTTTGGTCAGCACCTTAACAATTCAAAAATACATTTGAGGAAAGTAAGCAAGGTTTTGATGGTAAAGGCTGTACCTTTCCTTCAGGGAAGGAAGTGGGGGATCCCAGGTAGGTGAGGTAACTCGCTTAGGTGGGGTAACCCGCCTGTCCATATAATCTCTCATTTTAATTTGATCACGTTTACATTGATAGGTGGGGTGACCCGCCAAGGCAGTAGCCCGGTCTACCAGACCGGGTTACCCTCTCAGCCGTTGTCAAATTTTGCCATGTAAACATTTCAAGGTGAGGTAACCCGCCTGGCCGGGGTCGGATTCGTAATACATCAAATTTGCACAAAATTCACTTGGGCAGTGGCTTTGCATCATCATGAAAGTTAACAATAGAAAGCCGTTGCACTGAAGGTTGCAGCAAGAGCAACAAGGAAGTGTAGAAGTGCATTAATCGCCAACATTCGTGGTTTGCCAGCATTTTTCTTGTTTATGTGCTTAGCGACCATTCAATAATCTTGAGAAAGTGCACTCCGGGATGGCGGGGTTGTATGATTGCATGTAAAGGAGGGTTATTTTATCACCCCACCGAAGCAGTTTACCTCACCTACCTGGGGTCCCCCACCTCCAAGTAAACAGGCCCTAAAAAGCTGTCATTTTTGCACTAGGTTGAATATACTGAAGTTGATGTGAAATTGGCAAATCTGACAGATGATGAGTTATCTGATGATGAAATCATTCAAAGAACCACATCAAGGTTGTCACCCAGTATGGAAGTTGATGATCAACCTGATGAAGAAGAAGAGGAAGATGATGTGCCAAAAGGTTGGTAGTCTTGTTTTGCAAGTTACCACAAATAACTCTTGAACGAAAGATGTGATCTTGTAGTTACTGTCTTGATGTGGTGACAACGGTGCTTATTTTACTTTGGTTGCTATAGCTGTAGGGTGCTTTTAAGAGACAGGTCACTTATTTAATGACTTGTCACCTATTTGAATGACTTTGCAGTGAGTGGAAACAACAGTGTATTTACTAAGTGGGTTGATTGTGATTGTTTGGGTGAATGTAGTTCTGAATAGGATGGTTGTTGATGATGTTTTGACAACTTGTGTGGTAGTCATCGTCAGAGTCAAAGTGAGTTGTATCACGTCAGTTGATGGTATTATACTCTGGTTATTGATCTGATTAATTAGTCATGATATTATCGGTCGTCCGTCAGTAAAGCTGTGATGTTATAGGCTATGAAGACTCGTAATGTCATTGGTGCATTTCGATCCGTCTATTGTCACAGTCAAACAGTCTGTACCTTAGCTATTCAAGCTTACTGGACATCAGGTCATTTGTCGGGCCTGTCAGTAAGGAGCGGGGAACAGGGATTTCCCCTGGCTACTACATGTATGAGTGTGACCGCCTTCTACTTTCATATAGGAAACAAAACGTAAATAGAACCAAGACAACTTCCTAGCCATTCAGTTCACCACCTTCTAACTGCATATACCCAGCAACGTGACACATTAGTGACAGCCTTGATTTGTGACTACATAATGAACCAGTTGGTGCTAGTGTATTACTGTACTTTTTACAATCAGAATGATATTGCAGTGATCAAACTTAGCAGATGAATCAGAACCAGAAAATTCTAGGTTTAACTGAGATTCACTCACTGATATCATTATCTTTTGGCATGACAAAGCCCAACAAGGCTCTTGTCATCTACGGTAGAGTCTCTTGCCAAATTTTCCTCTTCAGGCTCATATTGTCAAATTTTCAAATGCTGTGATAGTGATTTGCAATGATTTTGTATTGACAGGACTAGAGGGTGCAGCTTTCCAGAGCAGACTGCCATTTGACAAGTTGACATCACAAGAGGCAACCTGTTTTCCTGATGTATCACAAGGTCCCCCTTCCATTCAGAAACAGTTCTTGTACATCAGAAATAGAGTGGTATGTAAACCTTTTTTGGTTTTAGATTTAGCATTTTTTAGGATTAGAAGATAATTTGAAGATGCTAATACATGCATCATAATTTGTAAATTTTAGTATCCTCAAGCTTACCCTTCGGAATAATAAAGAAAGAAAGGTGCCTCAGTGACTTTTCTTTCATAGGCATTTTACTTCACTAGGAAAAAAAAACAAGAGAACATTTTTTGGCTAATGAATACTGTTTGTTTGTGGTACAGTTACAACTATGGATTGAGAATCCAAGACAACAGTTAACTGTGGAACAAGCAATTTCACGCCTGGAGCCACCTAATAATAGTAAGTTCAGTGTAATTTCTGTACTCATGCAGTAAAAGAAAACCAAGTTAAATTTCACCTTGCATTTAAAAAAACTTGCCCTGCATTAGACTTTGGCTTGCAGTCAGTGTGTCTACCTGAGGATAGAGTACAGAAAGTTGAAGAAGGTAAAAGAAGAGACTGGTACACTTCTTCATAAGGTACCTCAGAAGCTAAAGGTGGTTAAGTTTTCTCAAATATCATGCTTTCATAAGTAGATGTTTCTGTCACTCGTTCAGTACCTGTAGCTGACTCATTTTTCTGGAAAGTACTGTACGTTGGTAGACGTAGATGTAGCTGGGGAGTGATTCCGATTACGATCTGCAATATTCCAAATAGGACAGTGTACCTCAAATCAAATTTTCAACCCCTTTTTTTTTTGAAAAAAAGATTTAACTGGTGAGATCCAAACCTCTTTCCCTATTCTTTTGACTATATTTTTGAAGCTGGGCTCACAGTTATCTTTTTTTGTGAATGTAGATGATCCAAAGCTGGCAGCCAGAGTCCATGCCTTCCTTGCAAGGTATGGCTTAATTAACTTTGGAGTGTACAAGGTTTTGAAAATGCCTCCACCAGGTAAGTGTTCTAATAAATGTAATTTGAAGTATTGTTACATAACTGTAATAGTGTGCCGCATTAGGAGAGCACAACCTAAGCTAAATAAGGAAGAGGTCTTGGCAATAGCTTTTAACAGAAAGAAACTAGATTGTTTGGTAGGTTGGACAAGGTACCAGACACAGAAATTCTTCAGAAATTCTTGTAAAAAACTCAGGTGTGTCTGCATTTCCAAAGAAAATTATACGCTTTCTACTGTCAGAACAACAAATGAAATAATTTTTTGTCTTGTTGATGAAGCAACATAGTTCATGTAAATATAAGTTCTTCTTACTTTGTTTTGTTTTGTTTTTTTCTTGTTGTATTTCCTCTGATTTTACCTGCTACCTAGAACCTAAATTATTCAGGGAGCTAACAAGAAAACCAACTGGTTCATTTAGCTTCTTAGCTTGCACATTTATTCTCACAACATTTAGTATATCTTGAACTGTAATTAAATTTCCTAGAGTGTAACATTAACCATGTACATCGACAAAAGCATAATAAGGATAATTTTGATTATTGGTATTATTGATTATTTGTTATTCACCACCCCAAAGTCCTATTCAGTTTTTGTTGTTTAACTCCTCATTCACGAGCTGTGAGGGAGGTGTTCAGATGTGTTTACCAAAAGATTCAAATCCTCCATAGAACAATAATATAATATTGATCATTTAATTTATTATTACTGTATATGAGTTTTTTTAATTCTTGTTGTTTGTGGGTTTTTTGTTTTGTTCTTTTTAGTAAAGAAGGCTCCTAAAGTGATCGTTGTTGGTTCTGGAATCTCAGGTCTCACTGCTGCGCGGCAGTTGCAGTCTTTTGGAATTGATGTTACAATTGTTGAAGCCAGGGTAAATATTTGTTGTCAGTTTAGAAATGTTGCATTTGCACTCTTTGTTCATGTACATCACTGTTGTCCCTGGGAAGAAGTTTGAAAAGTCCAGGGGATATCTGATTTATTTGTTTTTGAAGAGTAATCAAACAAGGCTGAATGTACTGCTGGAAGAATCTGATTATTTAATTTCTTGGCTTCTTCAGAAAAACAAATATATATGATCACCTCTGAGCTATATATTCAGACTTACTTCATTGCAATGAAGTAATATTATTGCAATCCTGTTTAGATCCAGCAGGAACATCAGTCCTTGCTGCAAAATAAGTTTGCCTTGTAAAACACGCAACATGTACAGATTCTTTTGCGAAAAGTAGAACTACTCTCTACTTTGTGTAACCACTTTTCACAACCTGCACTAACCTGATTTGTTGCAAGACAGGTTGATTTGTAGGTGTTAAAATATGTAACATCGCTATTCAACTTGTTATGCAGCAATGTTGCAAAGCAAGTTACATGGTTTTGTTGCCTGTTTTATTTTACCTTTGCTAGCATCCCTGCTGCGGGTTTTGGGCGTGGGTAATAAAAAATGATTGTATCATGGATAGGCAGTCTGTTATATGCATGATTCTTTGTCATTTACTAATTTTAATAACCTGTTTAATCCTTTTATCCTTTGATTAAGATCCTTGCAATCTTTTTTAATGCTGCAGGAGCGTGTTGGTGGAAGGGTGGCAACATTCCGTAAAGGCCAGTACATTGCAGATCTTGGGGCCATGGTTCTTACTGGACTGGGTGAGTAATATATCTGTTTAGCTTTCAATGCACACATACTGAGTCGTGCCAAGCAATTTCTCCCTGATATATTAGGGCTGTATTTCAGGATTTTTTGTGAGGGATTTCGAAGCACAATTTGGAAAAACCTATATTTTTCACAACCCACACTGTCAGTAATGACTGATTTCCTTGAACAGGGATTTCTATTCATAAACACACTGATTTCCCAACACTCAATTAAGGTTTTACGTGTACATATGTATTTGTGCTTGACTTACACTATTCATCCATGGATGCACTTGTCAGCTGATTACATTAATTTTGTCATTTTTCCAATTCTAAATTAGTGCCTGACAGCTAACAAGAAATGACTTAAAAATTCACACAAACCACTATGATGACCTGTTTGGCACCTGTCAAAACAAAACTGTGAACGGATTTCCCAGTAGAATTTTTGATTTTGTCTGAAAAACAAACTCCAAAGTCACTTGCCAGGGGAATTTAAACTAGGCAGTGTTCCTGAAAGAAGTAGAAATGATGGCTTTCCATGATGCAAGCAGCTTAAATGAATGAAAAATATCAAAGCATTCTTCAGGACTCTTAATCTTGACCTGGCTTAAGTACTAGTTTTTAACCCACTTGTGTAGGTAATGAAGCACTGCTGAGTTGTGGTTATGTTTTATATTGACCCTTGTATTTTTAGGTGGAAATCCTCTTTCAGTGTTATCTGATCAAATCAACATGGAGTTGCATAAGATAAGGCAAAAGTGTCCTCTTTACGAGACTCATGGAAAGTCGGTATGAATAGCTGCTAGCTATTTTAGCCTCAAGAACACACACACACACACACACTTCCCACAGTCCAATGTGTTCACATAATATGTAAATGAAGTAGCAGTGGAAAAGAAAACAGTCCTTTACTTTCCCAGAGTGGAGTTTTGTTTCAAGTCTCTTTCATTTCCAAAATCAGTCTGCTAAAAATATACTCGGTTCAAAATGATTGCTTTTCAGAAGACCCTTTGTCTTGAAATCACATCAGGGTCTCTCTGACCATTACACTATTGAATGTTGTATTCCTTTGGGAAAAAGCTTTTTATCTGATGCCATTCTTCCAGCCTCTGCCAGAAGTATCTACCATGAATATTCCTTTATAAATAGTTTTGCAGAGTGATGTGTATCTCACAAGATATCCACTGCTTCTTTGGTCTTTTCTTGGCTGTTGGGAAAGTGTTCCGTGTTGTAATAAGGCTTTTTCACTTAAACCATTTAAGTGCCAATAGTGACCAACAACAATTTTCTCCTAACAATATCCATTCACTGTCAAGAGATAAAGTTATGAGAATTAATAAAATGATCATCATAGAGAAAATTCCATGATCTTTTATCAAAATTAATTCTCTCAGCGGATTCTTAAAGGAGATGTATGGAGATCAGTTTGGAGAATTTGTATGTAGACATTTGGGCTTAAAGGGTTAATGTACATTGCAATCAACTGACCCCTTTCTTTGATTTGTTTTGGATTGGAGTGTTTGTTGTCCGTTATCTGAGACAGGCAAAAGAGGAAAACTTTTAACATTGAATTAAACTCATACACTGCACATTACTTAACATTTTTATTTGTACTAATCTTACTAACGAGTTACGTTATAGAAGAGCAACCCTTGTCCTACTGATGAAAGCTGCACCGTCATGTCAATTTCTCACATGAGCTTTACTATACTGTAAAATTCTGAAAATGAGTCCCTGAAAATATGCCCTCTCTCATTTTGAAACAAAAAAAAATTTCCTCAAGTCCCTGGTACTCTTTTTAAATTACGTTTGTTGTCGTGTTTCTAAGACGAGGACGACTAGGGAACAAGATTTTCCGAATGCTAAGTAGTACGGGCGTGTTGAAACAATGTCATTTTGCTGGGAAAATGTGATAGCCACCATCATTCTACTATGAGTTTTGAGAGAATGTCATAACCGCGAAAGCAAGTTATCAAATGTTAGAAATTTGATTGTTTGGCGATTGGGGTGTGGGGGGGGCTTTACCTCCTTCAACAGAAATAAGCGTACAAACTTTTGTGTTGAAGAAAAAGTACAAAGAAGCTTTCTGTTTGGGGTATCTGTTTTTAAAGGATAGGCGAGAAAACTTAAAATTAAATGTTGTCCTCATAGTCGTCCTCGTCCTTGAGTCTAAAGCCCTCTAATATGTTCTGAGGGATTACCTGGACACAAATTTGTAGTGACTTTCCAGTATTCATTTGTTAAAATATCAAAACAAATACATGTATTTCCCGCCATTTGCAAGCGTGACCTTGTGACGGATTTGCATCCCATTCAGGGAAAGAAGGAATGGTTCCCTGTGCAACTGTGGGGTAATCCTGTGGCTCATGAACATGCCTGTTTGTATCTTGTTCTGACAAACTGGCCTATAAACAGACAGAAAAATGTCAACATTCACTAGTTAACATAACGCTTGATTTTTTCCTGAAGGGCCCAATTGAAAAGAAAGCCAACAGCAGACTCTCGGCCGTGAGGGTAGGCTTTCCTTTCCTTGTGGATTTGAATAAAACAGTAAAATTCATCATACATTCCGTCATTTTAACGCATACGCCTTTGATGTATATGCATGCTCAGTATTGATCTTAAGATTAACCTTTAAAAGTTGTATATTTTGAGTCAATTAAAGCCATTCACTGTCTATGCAAGTCCCTTTGTAAAGTCCCTGAGTAACTTCAATGCTGAATTTGGTAACATTTCCTGGCAATATATCTGAAAATGGGATTGTTGAATACTATAATTATTACCATATTTTACATCCAGACCTAAAAAATGCCTTCTTTGATTGTGTCAGTTTTCTCTTTTTCTTCTGTAAATTGAGAATCGACCTTAGTTAATTATGGACATGGATATACTGCGTGGTTCAGTTATATCATTTACGTATTGCTGTGCTCTCCTTGGCATTTGAGGGGAATTTCCATTCTTATTAGAGCACTTGATTTAAATTTAGCAAATTTATTCATCACAGTAATAAGAATAGCTAATATTTTATTTTAAACTCATCAGAATTTTTTGGAAATACAGACACTACTCTCAATCCTTTTGGTGCTTATGTTGATCATAATAGTATGATATAAAATTTCCACTGTCACCACATTATTTTAGTCACTGCTCATCTACTTAATATATATACGTAACAGAACATCACTTCCTGACAAATAATAGTTTTATGTGCACTTTGATCTTGATTAATTATATAACCCGTAACCTTACAACACAAATTGACAATTTTTTAACCATTACTGATAAAATTTTATTTTAAAGGAAAATAATTATATAGTTAAACAAGATTAATGGGCATTGACCATTTGAAATTCACCATAGTGTTCATGAAAGCTTTCACTTCATTGCAAAATTATGTGGTAAGGTTTTTCACAGATTTGGTCAGTAAAATATTACATGCTTTAGACAGCACCACAGAAAAACACTACTTGTAATAAGTACTTTATAAAATGTTCACACTGAGGATTTGATCCATACAAAGAAAATTAGGAAGAAGCATGAACAATTTTTGGTCAAAGTTAAGAGTCTTACAAGTTTGAAATGTATAACAGTTACCTACACCGTTAATGACAATAATGCTGTTGTTGTCTTTAGGTTCCGAAGGAGAAGGATGAGATGGTTGAGCGTGAATTCAATAGATTGCTTGAAGCCACATCATTCCTTTCACATCAACTAGACTTTAACTACATGCACAGTAAACCAGTTTCATTGGGACATGCCCTGGAACTTGTCATCAAGTATGTTCCTACTTCTATTTTATTTTAATTTATTAGCTTCGCCTATTACGTGATAAGAGAGAAAAAGAAAAGAAAAAAAGAATGATAATAAATAAATACTGAAACAAAGAAAAATAAATGTGACCTTCTCCAGGAAAACGTAAATGTACACTGACTCTTTTTTGTGTAACGGGCAAAAACTCACGTCTGATGAACAACTTGTTACGGCTTTTTAAAGCATTTTATAAATTAACAGTTTGATTAATGCTTTTTAATTTTAATAATTTCAATTTTGATACCTGTTTTTGTCAGATATTTTGGCAATTTGTATAGGTAATAGCATGATTTGTAGTGATATTTGGCATAAATACGCCAAGTTATATTTTGAAATTGTTATATGTAATTTCACGAGCCATTAGGCGATTGAAATTCGAGGCAATTTGGAAATATCACGAGTGGTATTCATGCAAAATATCACGTATAAATCGTGCTATTATTTGTTTAAATTAAGCTGAAATACCACTGTTCTAAGCCAATCAAATGGCAGAAATTTCTCATGTAGTAGTATAAGGGACTGAATTTCTGTAGTTACCTTATCATTCAGGTTCGTATGTTATACAACTGATTTGATCTTTTGCTGCTATTTGTTGATTTTTAAGCCAATACAGACATAAGCTCTTATGTTCTTTGTGATTTTAAGTGATCTCTCTATCTGTTTGTCTCAAATCAATACATTGTTCAGCTTGAACCTTAAGAATTAGGTTTAATGATGAACAAAACTTACCGTGGCTCATGCTTCAAACTTCCAATCAGCAAACAAAAATTAATTCTAATGACTTCTCCTAATGTTTCGAACATTTTCGATGCAAAATGCGAGCAACTTTTCCTAACGCCTTGAATGGTTTTTCTAACGCTTTTAACGGCAGGTTAAAAAATTCCAACAGTTTTCCAAATGCTTCTAACAACTTCCAAAACTGTTTTAACGCTTCTCTAATGGGTTGTAAAACTTTTAGCCATTATACGGAAAAAGTATTTGTGTACGTTTTCCTGGAGAAGGTCACAAATGCTTAATTAGGCAGGGATACCAAAACCGTGGTAAGCCAATTACAGTGGTCCCAGAGCTTAAAAAATGTGTAAAAATATAGTAAATCTGCATATGACTATTAAAAAGAACAATGAAGATGGACGGAGACATTACGTGAAACATTACATGACGTCTGTGCGCGAGAAAGTTTGTGTAAGCGTGGGAGAATGGGCAAGTTTAATTTCTGACCATGTGCAGTTGTCATTAAGGCACTTGCACATAATATTCAGTATACAATATTCTGGTGCTGTTTTTTGCTCAAATGACTTCAGATCTATGAATAGGTGTGCATTATTGCTCATAGTGTGCACTTTCTTGGGGTAAATATGATTCTGTAACATAAAACAAAACAATAAATTAATGTAAGCTGGCAGCTTTGAAAATTTCATTTGTTTAGCTTGGGATTCTTGTTTATTAAATTTTGTTGCTTTCATTTTGTTTATTTCTATCAGGATGCAAGAAAGACAAGTGAAGGAACAACAGATCGAACATGCGAAAAAGATTCTTAAAATTCAAGAGCAGCTCAAGTCAACTTTAGCACAGGTATGCTGACCTCTGTTTCTTGTCCTTAACCATCAGGACACATTATTATAATAGTAACTGTTGTTGTTGTCTCTGACTTTCTTTAGTGGGGTAGTTTCATCTAAGGGACAGGTTCCAAACATGTGTGCAACTTAAAAGTGTTTATTGTTATTTTTATTGTGAATGTTGACTGTGAATGAAGTGGTTACCTCTGCAGTCTGCTGTGAATCATTCTCTTGTTGTGTTTCCTGATCTTGTGTGTCAGGCATCTATGTTACTGGTCAAAATTATATTCAGGTCAAAATATTTTATCCTAGGTTGATTTTAACTTGAACATAATTTTGCCTGTAACATCTACACTTCAGTTACGGTTTGAGGTTATTACATTATGTCTGAAGGGAAAGGAATTTTTCCATGCCCATTACCTGTTGATCAGCCTACGTAATGCCTCATAAATTATGTCTTTTTTGTAATCCAGTATGGATCGTTGCATTGCTTCCAGATAAATCCTTTTTATTTTATTTTTTTTTTAAACTGATCATGATTTTCTGCGATATGCAAGATTGTAATGTACTGCTTGCAAATGAACAATGATAATCTGCATTCCATTTTAATGTTTGCCTTAAGATGGTTAAAACCAAAGAGAAAGTAACACAGACACACAAAGAATATCAAGATGCACTAAAGATCAAAGAACCAAGGTAATAATTTTTATCATAATCAGCCACATAATCCTCTCATTTTAGCTTAACGGATTGCATTTTGAGTTGGTATTAGCCTTTGTTTGATTAAAATTCAATAATATTCATTATTTTGAGCAGGATCATGTCATTGTAACTAATTACATATAGGGTTTTCTGCCTTGTCTCCAAACATTCCATATATAATATCCTTAAATACAGCTACTGTACTGCAGTAGTAATTATTTGATAAAGCTCAGTTGCTTTAGCCTCACGTTCCCATCAAATGTTTGTCACGTAACAATATCGGTTGACAGTGAAAAACAAAGTGTTAAAGGACTTGTTTCTGAATTTATTACAGAGACATCACATCAGAGTTCTTGGTGAAAAGCAAATTTCGTGACTTGAATGCTCTTTGTAGAGTAAGTGTTAAATTTATTTTGTTTGTCGTGAGTGCTGTATATGTTGTGGTTTGAATAATAAATTATTGTTTAACTAGTATAATTTTGTTTTCTCTGTTACACATCATGGTAATGGCTAAGAGTTAAAGGAAGATCAAAAATTAAACTTTGGTTTGAATTTTTTTAAAAAAGAAAAATTTAGACCATCGCCAACTCTTTTGAGTGTCGGTTCAGTAACAATGATGTGATTTGATGGAAATAATAGGTACCTACCCTGACCTATCCCCAGTTTACTAACATGTGGACCAGGTGTGTCATCTTTGAAAATGTATGGACACATCTTACTTGTTAAATAAAATGCCTAAAGCATACTACACGGAACTGCTGACCAGAGAAATTAACACCAAAACTGGCAAACAGAATTAAAAAAACAAAGCAGCAAAGGGCAACTTTCGGTTCACAAAGAAACTTGGTTACTGGACTGACTTCTATATTGTATTATTTCACTTGGGCCTAGTGTTTTAAGATTTTTTGGCTTGTAGAACATAAAATTCTGCCCAATATTTCTGGCCTCTAATCTGGAGTCAAAATGACTCCTTGCAGTCACAGATTTTTTGGCAAAATTTGCTCTATTATTAGTTTAACCTTAAGTGTGTGCGACCTTTAATATAACTAGGAATATGATGAGCTTGTGGAGGAGCAACTGCGTATTGAGGAAAGACTGGAGGAACTAGAAGATAACCCACCAAGGTATTTGTAACTTCTCTTTCTCTTACCATGAAAATGTATGTTAATTACCAGAAACACTTAGTACTGACCAGTACATTGTCATACCTTATTATAGGAAATTAACGCTTCATGAATTAAGGCGAATAGTGAAAATTCACACTAATTATAGTTGCGTAAATTTTGTTGAGTGTTAATTGCCGCAACGTTAATTAAGTGCAGCATTAATTTCCACGCTCTTAATTTCCATAGTAACCCCAATTTTGGAACCTGTCCAGACATTCTTGACACCTAAAAAATATTAACGACAAGCTTTCTTTCTTTCCATTTACCCTTTAATTTTCATCTTTCACAAAAGCTAAGGCGAAGGTTTACAATATTTCGAGTTCACCTTCATCGTTGTCGTTGTCAGAAGTGATGTCAGCTCAGTTTTGTTCAGTTTTGATTTTTTTTTCATCCAACTGAAACAAATTTGTTCCAGTTGTCTCCACCATCTGTGTCTTAATCGCGTTAATTTCCTTTATTATGAAATTCTACCTCCTCTTTCGTGTTAATTTTCTTAATTCGAAAGTTGTTTTCCATTAAATTCGCATTAATTTAAGTTGCGTTAATTTCCTATAACAAGGTATTATCAGCTTGAGATTTAGATTATCATACATCACATCAATCTTAATAATTTGTGCATATTACACAAATTAATGTAGCTTTCATACCACTTATTCAACCCATTAATCACGGTGAAGTTCTGTAATGATATTCTGCCTAGTTTTAGTTACATTTTCCCTTACCTACATGTATTATGTTACACACACAGCAGTTTTACTGTGGTGTTATCGAGAACACAGCCACAGCTGTTTTAATTTATTATTGTTGTTGATTATTTTTTATAGTGACGTTTACTTATCATCAAGAGATCGCCAGATTCTAGATTGGCATTTTGCTAATTTGGAATTTGCAAATGCCACCCCTTTGACAGCACTGTCACTTAAGCACTGGGATCAAGATGATGACTTTGAGTTCAATGGTAGTCACATGACAGTGCGCAATGGTTATTCCTGCCTTCCTGCTGCGTTAGCCGAGGGGCTTGACATTAGGCTCAACACAGCTGTTAGACATGTCCGCTACAATAGGACTGGTGAGAAATAACAATAATTTAATCGGCCTCTTTACGTGTACTAGCGAGTGTTGTTTTGTCATGGATTTTCCATCAAATCATTGGTTTTTCAACAAAATTGTTCTATATGAGGAATTGTTTTGCTGATTACTGCCACATGTACTAGTGAGCTCGAGCAACCACAATGACAACAAAGGAAAGAGGGAAAACTAAAAAGCAACATGTTAGATGTGCACCACAAAGACTTTTTGGAAGATTCCTTTAACATTATTTCATGACTAACATTGTCAAACATGATCGGAAATACGGCAATGCAATGGTTGCTTTAGTCCCTAAGATAATTGTTGTTTCATCAATATCGATTGTTGCAAGTTCAATTTCATCAGAAATACCTGTAGAGAGGCTCTTTAATCACATCAGAGGACATTTTTAATATCTGCTATGCATGTTGGAGGGGCTGTTGGTCAGTAGAGACAGTGGGCTTGAGACATAATAATTATGGCATACTAAATGCAGTCACCTAAAGGACCTAAGGAGGGGTTCAGAGCCACCTTACTAGTTCAAACGTCTAGCAATTCACATATTTCTAGTGTGACATTAAGCTTGGGAAAACAATAAATTTTAATGAATTTAAATTGAATTGTTATTAGGTGTGGAAATAGTAACTCAGAGCACTAGTAAGTCTTCAATCACTACAACACAGACTTTTAAGGGAGATGCCGTGTTGATAACCCTGCCTCTTGGAGTACTCAAAAGTCATCCATCTGGCGTGCAATTCCAACCTCCCCTCCCAGAGTGGAAAACTGCTGCTATTCACCGGATGGGGTTTGGAAATCTAAACAAGGTTAGAGTGTATTACAGGGGGACCTCCAGATAACGAACCTCTATATAACGAAGTCCTTGGGTATAATGACAGTAGAACCCCGGTTACTTGAACCCTGAAGGGAAATGAAAAACAGTTCGAGTTAGTGGGGAATTTGAGTTTTCAGCGTAAATTTCAGAGAAACTTTGATCAAGGGAAAGGAAATTTAGTTTGAGTTAGTGGGGAATTTGAGCTATCCGAGTTCGAGTTATTGAGGTTCTACTGTATATGAAAAAAAGACCTCAATTTAATGTTACCTTGTTATAGCGAACAAATCTTGCCAGTCCCTTAGTCCTTTGTTATATCAAGGTTACACAGTAAAATCTATAAAATCAGCAACGTAGCGTACTATAAATAAATATAAATAAATAATGCCTTTATTTAACTAGGGTGACACTAAATAGCCTAAGGCTAATAAACTTGTGGCCCTCAAAACACAATCCTACAAAAATGTAATATCTATACTAATAAAAACACTAAAAAACTATTTACAAAGTCTAGGTATAAAAAGATCATAGAATAGATGTTAAAAAAATAGAGACTATTATTTACAATTAAAAATATGTATTAATTATTAAAATGATGCAATAGTTGCTGAGTTACTAGGTTTCTTTGTTTTGTTACTTTTCTGAATGCTATTTCTTGTTTGTAAACTTGAGGGCCACAATTTTATTATTATTATTATTATTATTATTATTATTATTATTATATTATTATTATAATTAATAGGAGTTTGTACCGTGCAGTTTCTATGAAAATATTCAACTGCGCCTTACATAAGAAATTAGTTAAACATGGAAAATAAAACCTAAATTTACAATGCTAAAATTCCTAATTAACAGCCTTACTAAATAAGAAAGTTTTAATTAGCTTTAAGGCTGTTAAGGATTTTCCTCTTGCTTATTGAGTTGTGGAGCAGGGGTGGTACGTTGTTCAGAGCATTAGCTTCACACCATTGTGGCTGGATTCAAATCGTGGTGTCAACATCATATGTGGATAGAGTTTGTTGTTGGTTCTCTCCCTTGCTATGGAAGGTTTTTCTATCATTACCCTGGTTTTTCTCCTCTCCTCAAAAACCAACAGTTTCAAATTCCAATTCGACCTGGAATGATAGACAAGGCACTTCTTTGTGAATGTGCTATCTCTAAACTGTTATTTCTTTATTTATTTATGCCAACTTTCTTAAGCAAGCGACACTGTTTTGTTCACTGCAGGTGGTTCTCTGTTTTGATCGAGTTTTCTGGGATCCCAACACAAATCTTTTCGGCCATGTTGGAAGTACAACAGCAAATCGCGGAGAGCTTTTCCTCTTCTGGAATCTGTACAAGTCACCTGTTCTTATTGCACTTGTTGCTGGTGAGGCTGCCAATAAGCTGGAAGATGTGTCAGATGAAATCATTGTAGGAAGTGCCATTGCTGTGCTGAAGGGAATATTTGGAAGCAGTGCAGTGCCACAGGTTTGTTGTTAATAGTTTGATTTGACCCCAAGATATAATGCACGATGAAGTTGTTAAAACTTTTGATCTCTTTCCTTGAAGAATAAGATAGTGAGCAAATGTTGGAGATATTTGCAGGATTGAACTTTGTTACGAAATTTACAGTAGTCACAAAATTTTGCAAGAGTGCTTCAAAAATTGCGAAAATGATGAATTAGTTTTGCAAATTGTGCAGTTTTCGGAAGGCCATCACAAAAAATATTGTTAATTAAAACTAATCAGTAACGATTCAAGCTCCGAATATCAATCAAGGAACGAAATTGGAACACTTTTAAAACCATTTGTAAATTTCATAGCGGAGTTAAGTCTGAAATGTCGTACGTCTCCACTCCCTAACCCATGGGGGGCTCGGGGGAGAGATTTCTGAATTCCGAGTGTCATAATGTTGTCCGGTAACATCACCTACTTTTGCGAATATGGTAGGTATTTTCTGATTGGCTATTACCTTTCCAAAATAAATAACTTTCTATTATTGGCTGAATGCACTAAGGGAAACATGGGGTTTGACAGGATAAGTGAGACTAATGACTGTTGTGTGAAACGTGACCTTAGAGTTAACCTCTCTACCCAAAGTGAAGGCTTGAACCATGGTAGCAACTGATGACAAACCTTTTAATTCTGAAATTGCAGTCTTGCTTTAGGCACTTGTAACAAAAAGTGCACTACCGGTACAGTTGTGTAGACTATTAAGCTAAAACAAAAGTAATTACCAACAGAGGAACTGTAGGACATCACGCTCCAGATCACATTAAAAAATATTATTATTACTCTAAATGCATGAAACAGACTAGCTTCATGACCTCCAAATGGTAGACTCAGGGCAGTAAAAGTAAGATTGCTCAGTCAGAGTTTAAAATACTCCCTAAATACTGCATAGTCATAATCATAGCATTAATTTTTGTCCACAGCCTAAGGAGACAGTGGTAACGCGGTGGAAGTCAGATGAATGGTCACGGGGCTCATACTCATATGTGGCAGCTGGCTCTTCAGGAAATGACTATGATTTAATGGCTTCCCCAGTAGCCCCACCCTTAGTAACAGGAATGGCACCAGGAACCCCCTCCCCACCCAACCCCCCAAGGGTTTTCTTTGCTGGAGAGCACACAATTAGGAACTATCCTGCTACAGTTCATGGTGCCCTACTGAGTGGTTTAAGGGAGGCTGGCAGAATTGCCGACCAGTTTTTAGGACTTCCGTATGAAGTAAATAGAGTGGGGCAGGCTCCAATGACGCAAGGTTGAAACTAAGAGGCAAGCTTTTCCTATTCCAAGAAAGCAACGTGGAAGAAGCCAGTTTCAGGCAAGCTGAAACTGGTTAGAGCTGCTATGTTCAAAACAGACTTTATTAAAACCACTAGCATGCTAAAAACCTTACAGTGTAGAGGGGAATCTTTGTTGGTGTCCCCGTTTAAAATGTTTCCTCATTAAGCATGGAATGGAGAACAAAGCCTGGTACTGGCTGGCAGTCTCCATTAATGTACATTTATACTCGTCTGATTTGTGGAATATTCTATTGTCATTATATTTTGGGTTCATTTCTAAAAAACAAACTGAATGTGAGATATAAAGCTTAAAGATTACGAAGAAGCTCACGGGCTTTTTCTCACTAGCTTCTCACTAGTGCTAATTATCAACGAAGCAAAGAGATCAACAGACTTAGGGGCTTGTATGCTTTGGCTTTTGAAAGCCTTGACTGCTTCAGTCATACATGGTTGTTGTAAGCTAATATACTTCCATGAGTTGACCTTGTCAATTTTTTTGTGTGTTTAGAGCGTTTTATAGAAGGATTAAAGTAACTTTGTTTTCTTGAGGTGAAAGAAATTAACCCCTCTTTGTAGGACGTAAATATTGCTTTTTGTTGATACTAAATTTTAGACACCAGCTTTCTCTCAGAAGTTTATTTAGACATGCTGGGTCTCAGTAGCCTGTTTTTTGTGCCTGAAATAGATTGACAGTTATTATATTCCAATCCCAGACCTTCAACTCGCCGTACCTTTTTGCTTGTTCTTGACTCTTGTGAATAGTACGAAATTATCAATGATTATGGTCAGATGTTGCAAAAAAATGTGATGATGCATGTATAGTCGCAGATGTTCTTTATTGGTTAGAGTTACACAGGAGAGACGTCCATTCAAAAAATAGTTATTTAAGGATACACTTTGTTTTCTCACACCATTCATTTTCGCAAACGTTTTCAGTATCAAATACAGTTAGGTTTCTACCTTCTTTTAACACTGTACCAACAAAATGGTTATGGTTGTCATTAGGGCTATAAGGCTGATATATTATAGCATTTTCGTTTTCTGTCTTTTCTGCTCTTTTTTCTTTAGACATTGTGTACTACACCCATTACAAATCTTGACTTCACTAACAACTTGTAATATAATTGAAAGAAGTGTAGATTAATTTATTTATTACTGACAATTAAAGATTGAAAACTGCCAGGTGTCATTTTGTTATTTATGTATTGGGTTCCTTCCGTTTTCTTTCACCAAAAGCAAGTGGTAGAGACGCCGTGTTTATTTGGAATCACTTGTTTTCTGAAATAGCTGACCTGCATGCGCCCGTGAAAAGGCGAAGAATACGAGGTGTTCCGCTCCCGTGGTTGAATGATACAATCAGTGAGGTGATGAAGGATCGTGATTTTCACCATCGTAAAGCCGTGAAAACCAATTCTGCTTTTCACTGGGCTCGCTATAGAAAGTTAAGAAATAGGGTCAATCGTGAAGTCAAGGCAGCAAAATCCAAGTATTATTGTGACTTGATTTCAGAGGCTAAAGGGGATTCAGGAAAGATCTGGAAGGCGGTGAATGAGGTGTCTTCGCGCAAGACTAAATCCTCGAGCCCACAATGTATCGTAGTTGATGGTGTTGAACACACCACCCCAGCCTCTATTGCATCCGTGCTCAACTGTTATTTCTCATCCATTGGCAGAAGTCTTGCAAATAAAATATCAGCTGCTGCTATGTTCCCAGTCAGATCGGCCACGATGCTACAGTCTTTCTCGCTTGACGAAGTTGATGAAAAAACAGTACTCAAGCATCTGCTTTCTCTAAAGACAAATAAAGCTATTGGCTTGGACAACATCAGTGCGAGACTTTTAAAGTGTGGCGCGCGTGCTATTTGTCCCTCGATCACCAAGTTACTGAATCTCTCTATTCGCACTGGCAATTTTCCTGAAATATGGAAATGCTCGAAAGTGGCTGCACTTTTCAAAACTGGAGATAGGAGAGATGCGTCAAATTATCGCCCAATTTCTATTCTGCCAACAATGAGTAAAATTCTGGAAAAAAGTCGTCCATTCCCAATTCTATGACTTTCTGAATTCAAATAATCTCCTTTCAAGCAAACAATTTGGCTTCCGTCCCAAACTGTCTACAACATCGGCTCTCACCAGTTTTGCAGATGAGGTCCTATTGCATATGGAGAGTGGAGAACTGTGCGGTGCAGTGTTCCTAGATCTGACCAAGGCATTCGATACCGTTGACCATACGATCTTGCTATCTAAATTGTCGGCTATCGGTGTCTCGCCCAGCACTCTACAGTGGTTCAAGTCTTACCTGAATCATCGTAAACAGCGGACTGCCTGTAGCGATGCTGTGTCTGACCCTCTCCCGATGACCTTTGGGGTGCCACAGGGGAGCATTCTAGGACCGCTTCTCTTCTTGGTTTATATTAATGACCTTCCGCTGGTTATAAAGAATTGCGAAGTGACTTTGTATGCTGATGACACGGTCCTGTACTACTTTGCTAAAGAGCCACACCTGTTAGAAGAGGCACTGAATGATGATCTCTTGAAAGTTGCCCAGTGGTTACATGGAAATAAGTTAACTTTAAATCTTACTAAGACGAAATCCATGATTATAGGCAGTAATAGGAAACTTGTTGGTATTTCCTCTTTCACGTTATCTATTTTTGACACTGATATAAATTCTGTAAGTAGTTTTAAATATTTGGGAGTTATGTTGTCTTCAACTTTCACATGGTCCGACCATATTGAGTATATTTCATGTAAGGTTAATAAAAACCTTGGTCTTCTACGTAGGATTAAGTATTATTTACCTTATGATGCCCGGTTACTTTTTTATAATAGCTTAGTGCTACCTATTTTTGATTATGCTGATTTAGTCTGGGGTGACAAGGACAATGTCTCACTTATGAAGGAATTGCAAATTCTCCAAAACAAAGCAGCTAAATTGATATTAGATAGATCACCTCACCCTCATCCACCGATGCTTTGATTGTCTTGAGATGGCTGAATCTTGAAGAACGTAGGAAATGTCATCGATGTATATATGCATACAAGTGTATTAATGGCCAACTTAATCATTCTTTGGACATTGTAAGAAAGAGTGATATACATTCCTACAATACGCGCAATAACGATACTATCAAGCTCCCCAAAATTAAATATAATTGGGGAAAACAACGTTCGCGGTACCACTGTTTCAAAGACTTTAATGAATTAGAGAGAACTGTAAGAAACTCAGCAAGTTTTCCAATTTTTAAGAAGTGTCTTTTTTTCTGCTTTTTATAATTGAGTACTTGTAGTGTGTATGTTTTAATTATTTCTGTAACTCGATTTTAGCTTGAATTTTTTTTTTTTTGTTTTTTTTTTTTTTTTTTGTATCATATATATCGATTTTAGCTTAACTTTTTTATATTTTAATTGTATTATATAATATACATCTCGTAATTAGGACCTCTATGTAAACCACTCTTGTGATGGAGCATCCTATTAAAAGATTGTTATTATTATAAGAAAATGGGATGTTTCAAATACCCCAGATGAGGCCTCCATTCTTCTTGAGGGAGACGTGGTAGAGAAATTCCACATCACTACTGAGAACAACAAAGTCAAAACGAATTTGCATCTCTCGAAAATTATTTTAAAATGCAGGGGGCTGGATATGCTTAACCCTTTAAACCCCAAGATCAAAATTTGAATTCTCATTTGTTGCCCCTATTCATTTCCTACAAAAGTAGCAGGGAGAAGCTGATAAAATATCAAGCAAATTCATCTTATGTGATCATGTCCGTAATTCTCATGACCACTCTGTTTTACAAAGCATTGATATTATAAGGAGAAATTTGATGCTGATCATTCCTAGGGCATCTGGTGGGTTGCTGTGCTCTCAATGCTCAGAGGCCATGGCGACTTACTTTTACCTTTGGGTGACCAAATATCTTTACCTTTGCACCAATCCTACATGCTGGGCATATAGGATTGAATTCATGGCTCAAGACTTTTTGGTTCCTTACAGAGCAGAGCCTCAGGCAAGCAATATGAGATTGAGCCTGCTAACCCTGAGTGACTAACATCAACTTTGCCTAACAATATCACATTATAATCAAAAGAAAAGGTTATGAGAAGTAATCTAATGATCACCAAAAGGAAAGTGCTTTTATCTTTTATTTAGTTCCCTCAACTACCTACTTCTGTAAGGAAACGTCTGGAGATTAGTCTGGAGAATTTTTATGATTGTGGATGTTGGGGTTTAAGGTAATTCCCTTGAAAATGATGTATTATCCAGATTTTTTTCAAACTTGGCAGAAATGTTTAGACATGTATAGAACATTAAAAAACTGCAATAAAAAAGTGGATTCACCGTGTTTGTTTTTTCCATGTGCCTATAATTGAGTGTCTTTTTCCTTAGACAACCATCAAAAATTCTTATTTTATAGCAAAAACTATGAATCTTACTAAAACCCATTTGTCTGGGCTATACTTTTTCAGTTAAGAGACCTCAAATTACCCGACTTGAACAAACTGTAGAAAAATGGACAGGGTTATCATTATCTTGTACTTCTCTTTAGCTTTAAATGGGGAAATTTGCATCATTCATATCTAAAAAAATAGAACTGTTATCGATGTTTTTTTCTCCCTAATATATTTTTTGTGTGGCCATAATGAGTAAACAACGCAAATAAAGAGGGGGTCACTGTTCTCGTTTCATCACAAAACAACAGCAAAGGGATCATTTTTGCTTCAAGATCATTTTGCGCAAGGGCACTGGGGTGAGTTTCAAGGCGAACACCCTTTTAGTCACGTAGAATTATCGAAATCTCTACGAAAAGCATTAGGACTACAAAAGAGGTCTGTGTTACCTATTTTCAGGTGACTGGTGAAAATCAATGCCACCTTTGAAGTTGCAAAGATATGCACACTAGGTGATGCTCAGTGCAAAACAAGGGAATTACCTTGAAGGGTTGACAGACCCTCTATTTTTCCCTTGAGAGATCTTTGAGTGTGCATATGAGGGGAGGTGGGGGGGTTATTAACTGCCAGCTGTATTTTAATCTTCGTTTTAAAAAATAACCTTCTGGTGAGCACATTGGCACATCTCAATGTAAGAGAAAATGGATGAAACCTGCTGAAATTGGGCCTCAGCTTGGGTTATGGGCATGCTAAGGCCGAGAACCCCCATGTACATTCATGAGGGTAAAGCCATACACATTTTCATTGTAAAGTCCCTTTGCCAACAGCATTGGGTAACACATATGCTGTAATTAAAAGCCTGACATCACTAGAATGCTTCTGATTATACATAAACTAGGGAAAGTTATGGCTGATACAATCACGCTCCCCAGGGGCGGACCTAGGGGGAGGGTGCAGGGGGTGCGCACCCCTCCCCCCCTGAGGTGACCTGCGGTTTTCTAATACAACTGATATTCTGCAAAACTATGTGGTTTATTGGTGTTGAAGTAGAGCAAGAGACGAGTGCACCCCCTCCTTAAAAAAATCCTGGATCCACCCCTGCTCCCAGTCTTTCATTATGGGTAATATTGCGAGTGACCAGAACAGTTTCATGTAAACAAATCATGGACAATTTCTTTGCAGTGTTTATTTCAATAAATAATCAGAAAATTTAAACTTTACACTTGCAAGGAGAGTCACAAATGTAACTAACACAAAACTGATGATAAACACACTGAATGTAACATCATTAATACGACACAATTTCTTCAATCAGTAACCTAATAAAATCCAAAAACTGAAAGTCAAAATTTTTTAAGTTAGTGACTTTTGGGTCCAATAGACTCTTAATTATTGAATAACATTATTTATAATAAACTTTCAAGAAACAAAGTACTTTTTAACATTCCCAAACCTGTTTTTCAAACTCTGGTTTAGTATACAATGATCAGCAAATAATTATTAAAAATGCTTTTAATAGCATTGTAACTGCAATTTAAAGTGTTATAACAAAACGTTTTCTGTTTTTGCTAGTTGGGGCAACGCTTGTCTAGTCATGATATACAATATTCACAAAATTTGAACACCTGAGAAAAATAATGTCCCTAAAATAACTAATTTTCAATCAAGTTCAGTTCAAGGTAAAAACCATAGCATTAATGAATTATTATTTTTCATTGTGCAATAATATTATAGGTGAATGCTTTGGATCAATGAATGTGATATCACTCTTCTATTAATAAAATATTTTTTTAACATAACTAGCCAGGGTTGTCAGAAAGTTTTGAAGTAGACGGCTGAGTTGTCAAAGTAAGCAGCCAGTCTAGGAATATTTTATTTTAAAAGCACCACCCATAAAGAAATGTTAAGCAGAGTAGCCAGCTGCTACTAACCAAGTAGGAAGCGATTTTCGCTGGTAGCCGGCTACTTTTGACAACCCTGACTACCTGGGTCGTGTAAAGTGAAAATCCCTTTTTGCCATGATTGAGCGATTTCCCACACGCTGATTGGTTGAGAGCTATGTTCGATAAGAGTACAGACCATGGAAATGATGTGATGGTGGCAAAATTTGTTTTTCTCTTTCTCAAGAGAAAGAGAAACTTCAACAGAATTGGACGTCAAAACTGTCTTTGTTATACGGTTAAAAAAGTGGAGAACAATTTTCCATGGTGTGTACTCTTATCAACCATAAAAATGATGTCAAAAAATGTTCAAAACTTAACAGTGAAACCACTCACCAGCAGCTCATTTCTATGGTCAATAAGAGTACAGTCCGCAGAAAATTGTTGTGGACTTGTTAACTGACTTACAAAAATCATTACAACAAGACAAATTTTTTAAATTATAACATTATATACTGGCATTCAGAACTAGAGACCAAATTTCAACATTCTGCAACTTTGAGGGATTTCATTTGTGCCCCGGGGGTGGGTGGAGTTGGCTGCAGTGAGCAAATCACAGCCCGCCACAGCCCATCCCTTAACTAAACTCATGCTTTGTCCAACTTTAAAGGCTTCAAAAAATTTAATTACCCCCTCCCCTGTCTGCACTACATAACTTATCAAAAAATTACCCTAATCACCCAGTAAGTTATAATCAGTCAAAGCATCCTTATTCCATATTGGGAGCTTCCAGGTGACCCCTACGCCAGACTCCCCATCAGATACAAGATAGCAAGATAGGGCAAAGATTTCCGTAAAGAATGGTTCTCTTGGAAGAAACCTTGTACAACATTAAAGCATCAGCTAAGTAAACTTCCTAGTTACCAACTTTGGATCAAATTAGCGTGTTCAAAGTCTCACTCTGGGAGAGCATTCTTCAACATGTCAATGCTCGCTGGTGTAAGTTGAGTTGGAAACTCAACCTCAAAATCAACCAGCATATCAGCACGTTGATTAAGCTTCTTAGGCAGTGGTAAACCCTCTCCTTTTATACGGCGCTTTGTCCCCGGTTTGATAATGGTGTTGAGTGGAATGTTGATTGTCCTCTCATCCAATGTGGGGACAGCAACAGATGTTCCCAACGTGTGACCAGTCAGTGCATTTCTCAAAGAGACTTTGGCTGTATAAAGAATGTTATTATCATGATCTCTTTTAAAGTGCTCATGTGGTTTGTCTTTGATTATGAAAATAATATCTGCAGGAACGGTGTGAGGTTTCTGGTCACCCTCTTCTGGGAAAGTGATCTTTGTGCCCTCTTTCCAACCTTTTTTTACATCAATTGTGAGAATTTTCTCTTCCGGACGAGTAGTTACTCTGTCAGGATTCAAAACCTTCCTGATAATTTTCAGCTTCTTACTTGTGCCTGTTAAGAGTTCTTCAAGTGTTACCATAAGATATTTTTCTATTGGAGGATCTTGGGCTTTCTTACGTGCAAATGATGACATGTCATCATATGAGGATGATCTTTGTCGACTGAAGGCAGGATATCCTTGATGCTGGAAGGAATTAAAGCCCCCCATGTTCATGTCAAAGTCAGCTCCTCCAAATGCTGTAGGAATTCCAAAACCAGAATTAAACATTCCTGGTAAAAAAAAAAGAAGTAATTTTGTGGTGAGACCCATTTTATTTTATTCCTTAACAAATGCGAAGATCTTGACGTTGTTTGAGCAATTTAATAATTGACATTGACATTTGCATTCCACAAGAAGGCCCATACTAAATTATATAATTCCTAGATCTGAGGGTGGAAAAAAAGAAATAAGATCAGAACATTCCAGCAAATATTAAACTTCTAGAGTAATCTAATGTGGTTAATAAATTTTGAGTTTTGAAAAGAAAGAATTGTTAAGTGATGTGGGCATCACTTTTGGGGGCAAAGGTAATTAACAGGAATTTTCAGTGTGGTTCTAGAAATTTTCCATTCTCCATCATAAAGGGGTCTCTTTTGCTTGCACCCCCTCTGGTAATTCCACTTTCTTTTCACACTATCAAACCAGTCTCTCACCCTTGTAATTCCAATGACCCACCATGGATTGGTTGGTATGGAAAATTTAATTAGATCCACACATTTCAAACACTTTAACTAACTACTGACAAAATAAAAATAATATAATTGAACATTGATTTTTTTGGTCTCTCTCTCCCCTAACTCCCCACAACCCTTCCCCCCAAAATAAATATAAACATGGCTTTAAAGAGATTTCTTAAGTCTCATTGTTTCCTTGCTCTGGAGAAGACATGTCACAATTTTCTTTTTACTCAAGGCAGTTAAATTCAAAGTTTGAATAAAAAGTTAGAAAAACTCCTTAGACAAGAGACAACCCTGAGAAGGATAACAATAGTAGACAAAGTGAAAAGATAAACATTGTTGTTCTTGATATTCTTTCAGGTAATTTAGTACAGTGACCCAAACAATTTTAATTTGTAAAAGAAAAACAAATATCGCACAGAAAAGACCTGTTCTAGACCTTTCTTAGAATTTCTTAGACTATAATTAATTATCATTAGCTCTGATAACCCGTAAAAGATAGATATTGATTTTTTTCAAACTAAAATCTCTGACTGTAAATGAAATATCATTTATTGACATAAATTCTTCCATAAAATTACTTTCACTTGTAAAAACACTGGTTTGTCTTTGTCCTTATCACAATAATATTCCAGTTTGACTGACCAATTAACCACAAAAAGAAGCCCAAAAAAGCTTGTAAGCAATTTAAATTTGCTTACCAACCGCAAAACGGATTAACAATAAACCCAAACTGCGTGCGTGGGAGAGTTATAAAATTGACAATTGATACATGTATGTTTCAAACAGAGCGTCTGCGACTAGAAAGAAATATTCTAGTAAATTCAATGAATCCTGGAAGAAAGACAAAAGTTCTCCATATAAACTCAACTAAAACGTAAGAAATGCTCGGTATTTTGTTCTAGCAATGCAAGAAATAAAAAGCGATCCAGCTCACGCAGTCAGCTATGGAAAACATATATCGTTACAGTGAAAGTGAAATATTGAGCCAAAAGCTGCAAGATTTTATTTTTTCTTACGCACACTTTAATAGTCTTCAGCAAGATTATTTATATAGGTTCAATGATTTAAGTCTGTATACCATACCTTTGAAAGGATCTTCTCTTCCAAACACACGAGAAAACGTGGACATCGGATCTCCGTGGAACGTAAAAGCTGTAAATCCTGATGGCATCTCAAATTTGAATTCTCCGCTAGCACCTGGAGGATTCGGTGTTCCCTTGAGGCCTTCTTCGCCATATTTATCAAAAATCTCTCTCTTTTGTGGATCACTGAGAACTTCATAGGCTTCAGCAATTTCTTTGAACTTCTCCTCAGCTTCGGGACTTTTATTTTTGTCTGGATGATATTTTAAAGCCATTTTTCGGTAGGCTTTTCGTATTTCATCTTCGCTAGCGTTTCGTGGTATATCCAGCATTTTGTAGTAATCCTTCCCCATTGTCTCGTTCACCTGAACTACCTACGAGGAACTTTCCGTTTTTTCTTGTTTTGAAGAACTACAACTGGCTTTACTGGTTAGAATCGTATAGGTCTCATGATACGCTGTACGATAACCCTTTTCCTGCAGCAAGAATAGGGGGCATGGAAATTCGCGGCAAACAATCAAACTGTCGAAAACGCTAGAAAGTTCGTTTTTGTGTCCACCATTTTGTTCACGTTTAGAAGATTGGGGAGAGTAGAGTCCAGGCTTGCACGCGCGTAACATGGCATGCAATTTTCCACGCTTTTCTGAAGTTTATATGCGTGAAAAAAATTACACCGAAAAATAACTTTCGAAACGGAAATTACTTTTACACTTCTAGAGTTTCGAGAAACACATCGAACGCGCGTTTTGGGGTGATAATATAACACCAGACACTGCCGCTAACCTTTTTCTATTACAAATCAAGATAGATATATCTGATGGAAATCTTGGACAAATTTAATATAAAACATGGTGTCGGTAAAGAAAAGTACGTGAACAAGACACAAGTTAGGGCATGAAAAGACATGAGAATGACTGATGAGAAAAAAAAAAATTTCGTCTGACAAGCCCTGGAACCCATACTGGACCTTTAGAGACTAATGACAATGGACGCAAAATTCAGGCAATATGTTTTTTTTTTCAATATTCGATCTCGAACTTTCTTGACATTCAACTAACGACACAGAAAGTTTTTGAGGTGTAAAGAAAAAATACAAAATTAATAGCCGTCATCTAGCTTCATCTCGGTCAGTTCCGCGGTTTCCATGCAAGTATTGGTGTTGTATATTATTTTCCAGATCACTTACAATGCAACTTAGCTACTTTTAAAACGAAGCCTAGTTTTACCTGCAGCAAAAACAACAAAACTTATATTGAAATGTAATCGTGTTCTACGAAAAGTCGCGGCTGGCAAGCTGCAGGACAAATTTTAATTATTATTCTTGCATGTGAATTATGGGCTTATGGCACGCAGAAAATTAGAATGTTCTAGAGTAGCTTAGAATGGTGACTGAGATAATTATAATGAGTGATTTTAGACCGGGGTTGCGGAAAAAGAAGGAAAAATAACATGAATTGAAGAAATTTACCTTTGACAGCTACAGAAAATAAACTATCAAAACTGAGAATACGGGTGTCATACGGTGCATGTTTGATGAGAGATTCATTGTTCATTATGAGGTAACTTTTGTCAGTCTGTGAAACCTGGATGACCCAGCCCTTACGAAGAAAATTGCCGGACGGACTAACTATATGATTTATGTTGCAAATTTTAGCAAGATTTACAAAAGAAGTTAATTTGAAGCTCGGAGTAGTAGATAAATAGTTTCGTGTTTGGTGTTTTCCAAGGTCACATTGACTACCGTGTTGATGAGCAATGTTATTAGGCCAATATCATTAAAAGGTTTATCTCAAGCTCAATTAGAAGAATTATCTTTTAATAGTTCATCTCATAATCTCAAAGGAACGTTTGACCTTCAAATTTCTTTTCGTGGATTCAGGGTAAAGATGGCAACAAGCAGAGAAATTCCGATAAACGTTGATCCAGAATTTAGATGGCGAAGCGTGATGAGAACAAAGGTAGAACAAGGAAAACCCCGCGGCACTCGGATCAGCACCCGATCTTACAGTTTGCCCTGTGAACCGAGCATCTTCTTAGAAACTTTAAATCCAAAAGAAAGAGAAGCAGATGATACAGAAGGAAACTCAGCTGAAATATCCAGACAAGGCTTAAATGAAAGGGAAATGAGTGAAAATGACAAATTTTCAGGAAAAGTTTTGACCTTATCGACAGATCTTCTGAAGGAACAGGGGTACAGTGGAGATACAACTGATGAACAGTTAGATAAATCCGAAGAAAGGGAACAAAGAAGACATTTCTTCCAGGAAAATCCTGTTGTTGGGGATTTAGTCAGGGTGTTTGAAGAGCATTATACCTCGTCAGTTCCCAGTCGCCCGATCAAACTGGGAAGAAGGAATACTTATGGACCCGAAAGCTCAGGGGAAAGCCATTTGTCGCCGACACGACGGACATTAAACGCATCCGGTATTACAGACAGAAATGAAACTTCCTTTGATATACCAATTTATGTTGAATCCGACGGAAGAAATAATGGAACTCTTGAAATAGAGGGGAGTCATTTCTGCGAAAGTCACAGTCTGAAAGAAACGGATAGTCACGAAGACCCGCATCCTTCTGAGAAATTTTCAGATTGTGAGAGTGAGCTTGTTGAACCAAAAAGTTCCTATGATGAAGAGATTCATGTGAGCATCGAACGTGACAACGGAGGTGTTCAAGAGCGCATAAATGAGGAGATAAATGACAGAAGGGAAGAATATCAGGCTCATTTACATCCCGAAGAAAGCAATATCGTTCAAGGTCAAAGAACCATCGAGGACCAACCTGAGCCGTTTGAAATTCCGCACTTACCCCCTAAGGCGTCAGAAACTGGGCAACAAGAAAGCGAGAAAAAGCTGTTACAAATTGGAGGCATTCTTAAGAAAGCTGATGATCTAGCGAGAGAAGTCGATGCTTTCAGTGAGAGCATCAAAACCAAGGAATATTTGATTCTGGAAGAAGTTCTCACCCGTTGTTTGATAGAACTGGACGCTGTTGAGGCCAATCAAGATGAAAATGTTCGAGTGGAGAGAAAAAAAGGAGTTCAGATTTTACAACAACTACTTGCACAACTGGAAGAAAAAATAGAACCCGACACAATTGAAAGTAAAGCAGGTAGAGACGATACCACTGAATCCTAAAAGGACCTATCCGAATAAAAGAAGCAGTTGTTTTTTTTAATTTTCCAACTTTTTTCATAAAAGTCAAGTTTATTATTTCGCCCATGGCATGAGTGCAGATTCCTGAGTTTTGGCAACAAAATTACTTTCCAAGTTCAAGGGATGACTTTCAAGGTTTTTCTTCCGCTTTATGTCAAAACAAGATGAGTTTTAATGCAAATATTTCTAGAAATTTCTTCGTTTTTTAAAGGACTTTAAGTGTCCTTCCTTTTCAAATTTGTCAAAGAATTGCCGAAGCTAAAACTAACGTTTCCCAAAAACAATTCCACTTCCCTTGCACTTTTGTTTATTGAAGGCTCTGCTCCCGAAAATGGCTTTTTCCTCCGGCTATTACAGACGTTTTCCCGGTCTGTGTTTGCTTGAGGTCGGGCATTTCCATTACTTCCGGATATTTAGCCTTGTTTTCCTTCAAGTTTACAAAAAGAGCTTCGACAACCTTCCAGACGTCGCACCACATCAATTTGTGAAAAATGCAATAAGATTCTTTTCAATTATATTAAACTCTAGAAAGTTCTCTTTGCCTTAGCTTTAATAGATTATTCTTGTCAAAGCAAGATCTAAGTTCATATCCGGAAACTGTAACAGTTCAGTTGCTTTTTCCAGACGCGAACAAATTTTACTGCAAAAATTGTTCGCTAAACTGTTCCGGAAGAAATCCCTTGCTATTAAATGTAATTAACGTTTATTTACTATTTTCTTTCTTTTAGACGTATTAAGCAAAATGACAAGACACAAATGAATTTAATGTGTAGATTTCGAATGTGTTTCGCTAAATTCAGTAGAGCTGACCATTACACAACGCAGTTCCGAAGCCAATAAATCACTTATTTGAAGGCCTTTGTTGATTCCGACATTGTATATCACGTGTTAGCGACATGTATCTGTACTTAGACAACTCAACTGAAGTCTTTTCGAGTGTCTTAAATGCTCTGAAAATGAAATGGCTCCAGTCTGTGTCGTAAACTTCAGAGGCACCCAACGTCAATTTTCGGAAAAAAGCTGTTCGGAAGAGGATTTGAGATCTAGAATTTTCGGAACATTTGTTGTAAAATTTCTTGCTTGCCCGCCGCTCCTAGAATTTTCGAACATCTAAAAAATGGTATAATTGCCCATTTTTAACGGATTTTTACCGCCTAAAAAGGTCACCTAGAATTTTCGGGAGCCTTGTTTCTGGCTGAAATTTTCGAAAAGGTAAGTTCTAATTTTCAGATCACTTTTCCAGCTAGGAAATCCGCCGAGAGATGAAAAATTTTTAGGGGATAAAAATATTCCTATATCTACCGTTTAAATACTAAAATACGTTTAACAATGCTATGTTTAAGTGGTTTTGAACTATATATATATATAGTAACTATATATATATAGTATATTCTCGTTGGGTGCCCCTGAAACTTGGGTCAGTTACTAAGTTGGTTCAAGAAGAGAGTACCATTTCGAATTGATTATTAAGAATAATCACTTGGCGCAAGACGGTTGGGGTGTAAATGCAAGAGGCAGTTGCACTTTCTTACAAAAAAGGGCTAAATAAGTCCTTTATTTGAGTGCTAACGTGTTAGCAAGAAAGTGCTGATTGGACACAATTTTTACATCCGCTTCTAAAGACGGTAACCAGTCGTTTCGATACAAACTCAAGCAGTGAAATTGCACATAAATTTCGATCACTTCAAGTATAGCTTGCGCGTGAACAAGGAAAGCATTTTGGCTGAACATTCTTCGTTCTTTAAGCCAAGCACGTGAAAATATTTACAACTCGACTGAATAATTATTAAACTTGTGTCGAAACGATCGGTAACCCCGGGCGGTAACCCTAAAGACAGGACCGCCATTTTACGTGGTCATCCGAGCCACACAAAGCTGTAGCCGTTTCAGGGGGCAGTGCCTTCATTTCCGAGCCATAGACCCTACAAAGTATTGGTCCGGCCCTGGGAAACAACAGAAACAAACCCACGACCTCCCGCTCTATAGTAAAGTGCTCTACCGACTGTGCTTTCCAGCTCACGTTTTACTCTGCACGCAATGGTGTAAGTATACCCTGCCAAATCACTTGGCAAAAAAACCTGTCCATTGTTTTTTTTTTAATGGTGATATAAGGAACCATTCCTCTCGGTCAGGGAATGCAAATTTCGATTGGTTTCAAGGACCGCTACCTTAGATTATAACGTATTCGCCAAACAAGCATGAGGCCTTTGATTCCTAAACAAATAAGATGTTGACAGGTATAATTAACAAAACGATCCTTTTTTTTATCAGATTATTTATGTTCCAGCTACCTAAAATCGAAACAACCTACACTGCCTTAAACTGAAGAAACCGGATAACCTAAGCAGGGCCACAAATATTTTTAACTGCGAGATTAGTTCGTCACGTAACTGAATGGATTAACAATAATTTACATGTAAGTATTTCACGAATAGGCCATTTTCGAGTTCCAAAAACTCTCACATTCAAAACGAGGCTAAGGGCCTGTTTACATGACAGGGGGGGATCCAAGTAGGTTTGGTAACTCGCTTAGGTGTGGTAACCCGCTTGTCCATATAAACTCTCATATGATTACCTCACAAATGTAAACGTGATCAAATTAATATGAGAGATTATATGCACAGGGGGGTTACCCCACCTACCTCGGGTCCTCCACCTCCATGTAAACAGGCCCTAAGTTCAAAACCTTTATTGTGAAAACGAGTTTCATTTGCATGAGAATAATTAAAATAATTAAAAATTAATAATTAAAAATTAGTTTCATATAAATGGCTTCACACTTAGCCTCGCTATGAAGCAGAGGTTTACAGCAACTCAGAAATGGCTTATTTCTTGTGCAGAAGAAATATTAAGATTCCAAATTCTCTCTTTCCCTAAAGCTTTAGTCCTGATCACATTTTGTGTTACTAAAACTGCTGTTTTTACATTACATTAAATGTCAAAATACATAATAAAGTGTCTAATCCTCGCCAGCTGGCAAAGCATCTTCTAATTTCCTAACAAATTTGAGTCTAATTTCAGTAGTATCGTCTCCACGCAAGGAATCTTGAACAAACCACACATCAACTTCCATTTGCACCTTGAAAACATAAACAGAGAAACAAAATATTTAATTACTTGGCATCTTATAATAGCATACACTCAGGGTCAGTGCTTCATTCACAACTATTTTTAAAAAAATCGCCTCTTAGCGACCTTTTCATATTACAAAATGGTCACCAGACATAGGATATTGGTTGTCAAAAAAAAAAATTCTTAATCAGAGTAAGCTAATGGCAACCCGACTGTTGGAAACCACAATGGAGGTACCCATGACATCTCAAGGCTTAATAATTGGTCGGCCAGGGTGGGAAAGAAAATAGAGCAAAAAATTAAATAACATCTTGTGCAAAATAATGTATTACGATCTCACTGTAATTTTACAGTAGAAAGACCAAAAACACGAACTAACAAAAACACTTTGGTGTGCCACATTAATATTTTATACCTCCAAATAATGGGCAACAAATTGGTGACTTATACAGCATATTTTAATCACCAACATTTGTTTCTACTTAGCATGGCAACCAAGGCAGTTACACCTTCAAGTGCTGAGGGTGCATTAATTTGGACCTCCAAATTTTCAGATTTTCTAATTATTATTAATCCCAATTCCAAGAACAGCTTTTGTGTACATGAAAGGTCCTGTTCTCACAACATAAGAGTTAATCAAATTCTGTGAAGAATCCACTTCCAAAGATCAATATCTCTAGATAGCAGATCTAGCAGAGCAGGCATTCCAAAAAACTTCATAATAGTCTGAAGTGACTCCAACTTCTCAAAAATGACTTCAAGATAATGGAAAAGGCACCTTACTGATTACAACATGTAAGAGCAATGTCCTTAAAAAGTAGCCAGGATACGACAAAGGAGGGACATGATTTTCCTGAACGGGTAAAATTTAGGGTGAGTGATAGTTAAAAATACAGCAAGTACGGTAAAACCTCCACATGTGATCACCTCTTGAAAGTGACCACCTCCTATCCCATAAGTTACCACCAATTGAACACACTAAAATTTTTCCCAGTCAACACCTTACAGTTTGAACCTCTCGTAAACTACCACCTTCCGGTAGGTGACCTTGATTACTTTTGGGGGCTGATGGTTTAATGATTTTCCACTGTTTCTAACCTCTTGTATATGACCGCTTGATGCATTGTCTGATTTCTATGTTTGCTGTGTGTATTATGCTCCTTACAATATACAAAGAACTTCAGTAGCAATGTGGAACTGCACATAACGTATTACTTAGAAATCAAAACAAATAAATAATCTTCCATAATAAAGTAGATGTGTTTGGACAACTTCTCGGAAGAGGCCCCCTGTGGTTCTTGTCTGGTAAGCGACCACCTCCTGTAAGAGCCACTAAGACTTTGATTTTGGGTGATCACCTACAGGGCTTCAACTGTATTAATTTTTGCAGCAGTTAGTAAAATTTTTTACCATTTCTAGGGCTCCTCTCAACACACCACAGAGAATGTTTGAAAACAGAAGCCCCTCGTGACCTTCTGGTAACTCAGCAAACTCTGCCAAAGGGTTGTTGTCCAAGATTAAAGAGAATTCATCCGATGCTGCACTCCAGTTTGTTACCACTGGGGAAAATCCAAGGAACATTTTGAAGCCCAGCTATAAAGACAAGAACAAGAAGAGTGGAAGTAAACAATAACCTTGCCTATACCTGAATAAGTTAAAATTGAAAATACGATTAGTAATTTATAAGTTCTAAATGTTAGCAAAATTACAATAGGCACTGATGAACAACTTCCTTTATGATTAGCTTTCATCAATAAAAGAGATCATCTAAATGTTATTTCTTCAGTTTCAACCCTTCCTTGGTGGTTTTTGGCAGTTTCTTGGTGTTGCAGATGGGTGCAATCACCAACTGACATAATACAAAAGCATGAAAAGACATCAAACAATACCCACGCCACAACACAGGGCTACCCAGTGTCAATTTTCGGAAAATATCTTTTCGGAAGACGAAATGTGATCTAGAATTTTCCGAACATTTATTGTAAAATTTCTTGCTTGCCTGCCTTTCCTACGATTTTTGAACATCTAAAAAATGGTGTAATTGCCCATTTTTAACAGATTTTTACCCTAAAAAGGTCAGCTAGAATTGTCGGGAGCCTTTTTTCTGGCTGAAATTTTCAGAAAGGTAAGTTTTGATCCCTATAATTTTCGGATCACTAGACTTTCAGATAGGAAATCCGAACAGATCAAAAATTTTTAGGGGATAAAAATATGCCTTTATCTACTGTCTACGTACTAAAATACGTTTAATAATGCTATGTTTAAGTGGTTTTGAACTATATTCTCGTTGGGTGCCCCTGACAACACAAAAGCTAACCAACAATGGTCTCCACAATACCAAGAATCACTTGTAGTTTTTGCGACAGGAAGCTCGCAGAAGGATTTGAAGCTTATCAGCATATAAATTCTAGTGAATGACAAACAATAACTGGGCTTTTTATTTTCAGTTAGATTTATGTCCTCTTGGCAGTGTCAAGGAAAAGAGGCTGGTGGAAATGAGCAAATAGCTGAAACAAATAATTCAGATGTAACATAACTCACAAATAATGAAAATATATTTGAACAGAGGGATAGAGAAATAAATGCAGAAGTGATCATCACAGTTTCGAAAAGAAGGTTTGAAAAAACTTAGGCCTGCTGAAATTCAGACACTGACCTTGGTGATACTGTTGCAGTGTGGGCCCTTTTCGATGCAAGATAATCTTTATACCAAATAGGATTGTGTTACAAAACAAAGTTAATGTCTTGAATACATGCAGAGTTTACCTTGGCAATAACATCAGCAGTCTCCCTGAAGTCGTGACACCGACCGACATTTGATCTTGCCAAGAAATCTTCCACTAATCTTACTCCAATATTGTAGCCCCTGAAACAATAAATTGCAGAATGTTGCATTATTCTGTTATGTAATGTTAATGTTGGTAGATATTTAATTGTATTAGAGAGCTTAAGCTGCAGATGCTCTTGAGATCCCAGCTGGCAGAACAGTTGAATGGGCTTGGATCAGGAACGACAATATTTTTAAGGCGCCCAAGACAAAGGTTAGGTAGTAAAAGGTTTTCAACCTGACCCAGGTAAAACACGATCACAGGAGGCTGTTGCTTTAACTATTGGTTCAACTATTGTTGTGTCAACTATTGGTCTTGACAGGTAAAATTTTTCTGTTTTGGAATGAAGTGTTCACTTATAGGAAAAGCAGAGGCACATGAGGGTTTAACTGTACAGCTTTTCTCTTTACAAAAATTACAATCTTTAGTGTAGCCCTTTTATAAGTTCCTAGTAGAGACATGTAAGCTAATTTCATCTACCATTTGAACACAACTTATATCTGCAGTAGAGGTGAAAAGAACTTGCACATGATTCTTCTCTAATGGGAACATTTTGATCAGCTTTGCATTCACCCCTCCATCCCCCAACTCTGCACCCTTCCTCCTACCCCTAACCCCCCCACTAGCAATGTTGTGCTGAAAAAGGACTCGCTTGCACCCATTTTGAAAAAAATTCAAATTTATTGTTTGGGATGGGAGGGGGTAGGGCTTAGTTTTAATAAATTACCGTATTTATTTTATTAAATGCTGCCCTCGAATAAACGCTGTACCTAATCAGCAGAATGCGATGTTTACTTGAGACTAATAAGAAAAACCTTGGTACAACTTGGTAATTTACACCATCCAGACTTGAGACATTAAAACGTTTAAATTACACAATATTTACAAACGATTTACAAATAACTGTTCTCAGTGATTTAAAAAAAGTGATTTTGAAATAAATGCCAGTCTTAAATAAACCCCGCAGCGTTTAATCAAATAAATACGGTATATCACATTAGAGGTCCTGACACGCTTGACCTCCATTGTAGCTTTGTAGCTTTATGATGGGCGCTTTCCCTTTAGTCAAAATTTCTGGAATTTCCGGTTCGGCAGGAAAATGGAACACATTTTGTCGGTTCGTCCCACTGGAAAATTCCCAGAAAAAGTGGAAATTTTAAAAAGGTGGTCCCGTTTTCCCGGTTGGAATTTCCGAACGGAATGTCTTGTTCCATTTACGTTTCTCGTAGTTTGTACCAGTTCCAGGTCCACGGTCGGGCACCGCCACGTACCGGGGTTTACGACCAAATGGAACAACTTTTTACCAATCGGAAATTCCACTTTTGCTACCACCGAAATTTCCGGGTTTTTTTCCTAAATGGAAAGCGCCCGATGTCTCCCTAGACCTCACCAAAATGAGGCTGCAGATTAGTGACATCCATAATAATTATTGGAGGATGAGCGAGCTCTGAAAACATTGCTGAACTTTCTTTAACCCTGCTTCAAACTACTGCTCGTTATTCCCAAATCATTTTGTCTGTAATATATCACACTCTCAGTAACTTCTCTTCTTAAAATGAAATTGTTGAGGTTTGAATATTAAAGTAGAGTTCTATTTCTGCAGCTGTATGTAGCTAGATCAACTGTCATAAAAAAATAGTACGTAATGCACTTAATTTTTTAAAGACGATTAACGAGTTCTTCAGATAATATACCTACATTTTATCAAGTTGTTTGTTAACTTCTTCGTCGCTTTCATAATCTTTGACGAGCTGTGCCACAAGTGCTCCATGTGTCAAAACAAATAATTCCGCACTCTGTTCGAATGAAAGACGAAAGAGCAAATTTACGACATTAACCTTCTAGTATGCTCTAAAACACCGTTCATTCACTCCAAAATTGAACACAAATCACAAAGAAACGCACCACTTTTCTGTTATCGGCTCGAACTGCCGATTGGCGAGACATTATGAAATAACGTTACTAGGAAAATTCAGGCAAAACAAAAGCTAAGGACGACTTCTACAAAACATGGCGGCTTCAGCTTAGTAGCCGCGTCAAGTTAGCTTGGTAGCCAGTAAGAGACCATCATGGCGGTAGGTTGTGAGGTTTTGCGCTTGCTTCTTTTGAGACTTTGAGTTTTAACGCCTTTCATTTTCGTTTTTCTCATTCATAGTCGATACCAACGGTCACCACAGCTTCTGCCGGTTCCTTCTCTGCGAATATTATACAGCAAAAAAGTGGTGTTGATTTACGTGTGTTACAAGATGTGCAAAAGAAAATTCAGGTTTGGATTTTCTAAGTGTTTTTTAAAGTGGGCGCTTATTGAGCTTGTTTTTGTTAAGGCGTAAGCGTAGAAGATGCTGCCGAATATTGTAGCAAAGCAAAAGAGTCTTATCTTTGCATGTGATTTTTCATATGATAAGACTTGTGTATGAGATATTTACGTGGTAAGCGTAATTAAGTGAAGCTTACAGTAATTAAGGCCTAGGGCCAAACGTGGAACTTTTCATGAGATGAATCAACCTTAATGAGTTAAGTTGATGAAAAGTTCGACTGCTGGCTCTTTTAAGTTCGTCTGAATGAGCTTGGATCGTCCCACACGTTCTATTTGTCTGCTTCAGACGGATAGAACGTTTTAAGATCTCTGAGTCAAACGTCGATCTTCACAGGCGACGAACTAAACTGAAGGCTGTGCTCTAAGGAAAATTAAAGGGAGCCAGAAGCATATAACCCCGAAGCGTATAACTTTGTCGCAATGCTGGGGTTTTTTAGGGAACCAATCAAAATTTACTTCCTAATATGGAATTACTGACAAGTGAGATTGTCGCGCGAAACTTGTATCTTCGACGTATAAAATAATGCGGTGCAAAAAGCATTTACTGCTTTACAAGGTAATATTTGACGAAAAATTAAACGGAATACAGTATTAATCCCCAAATGACCAGGAATGATTTAGTTCCTCCTAACAAGACAAAGTCGACTACAAATGACAAGCACCATAAGAGAAGTGATTTATTAACCCTTTCACTGCCAAATGTGGCCAAAGGCAAATTTCAACCAAATTTCCTAATTTTGACAAACAAATAGCACCATATGAAAGTACAGACAGAGAGCTTTCATTTGAATGGTCACATCACAGGATTTCGTCTGCAGACTCAAAAGTTAGACTCGCCTTACAAAACTCCATCAAACACTCTGGCAGTGAAGGGGTTAAAGTTGTTACTTCAAAAATGGTTTTTGCGTGACCATTAGCACAAATAACCTTTAAAAAATCACTTACTATCTATCAAGAATAACTAGTAACACATATTTTCAAATAAAATTCAGTAGTTGCTGAACTTGAAAGTAAAAATTGCATAAAATTCGCTGACATCTTCACAGAAGTGATGCGGGTAATAAGACTTAGATGTCGGCGATCATGTTTTGAACTAATGTTATAAATGAACAAACAGAAAACAATAAACAGACAAATTGTTTCTTGAAAATTTTTATTCGAAAACCCATAAGTTTCCTGTTAAAAGCAATTCATGTAACACTGACTGGATTGTGGATCTGTTCCCACAAGTAAAATCAGCATGAGCACATGGTAAAAATATAATCTCAGATCAGGCTCATTTCCCAATTTTTCTTGAAAACTCTATGAAAAATGTATAAAACGTCGATGAAACATTTATAAATACATAAATTTCCTTTCAATAATGTACTTTCCATGGGAATAATGTGTAAACTGTAAGTTTACCTGAAAATTCTTTAAAAAGGTTACTGACTTGGTCGCAGTTCAGAAAAGGACAAGCAGTCCGCCGTGAAAGAAACAAGGTTGGAGTCCTTGAAGGTGAATTTACACTCACAAAGGCGATTCTGTTCCAACTTCGTCGGCGCCTTGTACAACGCTTCTGCAAAGCTTGCCATATCATTTTGTTTGCAGTCGCCATGCTGGTTTTGCTGAACGAGAACAGAAGTTACAGATAACTGGATTGCCATGGTAGATAGGTTTGCAGCTAGTAGCCTTAGGATGATCTTTGACAGTCAAACAGGTCTGCTGATGGATTTTGCTGATTTTGGCGAGAGGCTTTGCAATATTGTGAAGAAATGTAAACATCCTTGTCTTATTCATCACTGGTCGATGTTTTCAATCCATAGTGCTTAAAACTTTGTGGCTCTTTATGTTTTCCCAGGGTTGCATTTTATAGCAGCATAATTACTTTATCTCTAATGCCACAAAACGATTTCTTTCGACCATAGACTGATACATGCACAGCGTTGCAAGCCCAAAGTTTTTAGCCTTGAATTCTCTGATTCCATATTTGGGTAAAATAATTTTCCATGCTTCTGATTGGACGGCTGCATCAGCTAAAAAACCCCAGCATGGTTCTTAACACATAAGGGGAAGTTAGACGCTTCAGGGTTGTATGCTTCTGAGGGAGCCCAGCAAGTGATTTGTCTGAAAAAACTAAGATTTTCTAGTTGCCCGAGAGCAAAATTTGGGTGCCAGGGGCCACTGGGCTCTGCTAGAGCACAGCCCTGAAACTAATAAATTAGTTATAGCCATGCCTGCTACCTAAGATTATTTTTTGGGAGCCCTTTGAGCTCCCAAAATAAAACGTTAGGAGCCCAAGCCACATTTCTAGGAGCCCCATTCAAAAAAATTAGTAACTTTATTAATGTGTCAAACTTCTAGTGCATGTCAACTGGTGCACTTCTTGGTTGATTGAAAAGCTTCAAATTTATCATTTATCCAACTAAAGGGCACAAATAGTAGCATAGTAAGGGGGAAACTAACATTCAAGGACCAGTCTCCTTTTTTCCGTACTAGAGGTTTTTTTCCTCCGTTGTATTTCTACTCTGAGGGTACCCAAACCTAGTTATTAGTTCACCAGAATGAGGCTATCCATAGTGTCTATATCTTAAGTTGACAGTCTTGACCAGATCCCCGAAACTTGATTCACTCCTCTTGAAACCTAAGTCTTTCTCCCTTTAATTTATTTGAGGAAGAAAATAATTATTATACTTGGCTCTTCCAGGTTTTGAACCAACTTACCTTTCAGTTATCCTTACCAAGTTGATTGTTTGTTTTTTAGTCCTATGGTCCAGGTCCCTACACTCCAGAGCAAGCCAAGGAAATTGAAAGTTTGAAGATATTTTATCACAGAATGAAAACTGAACATGATAAGGTACTCTGTTGTAATAATTAGTATGTGTAATCAAAAGGTGATGAGTGAAATAGAAGAATAATTTCATGCTCCTTTTGTGTAAATTCCTCTAGAATTTTTCAGGGTTTTTTTTTATTAAGAATTCTAGTTACAGGATAATGTTTTGGAAGAGGCTCCTCACCTAAATTAAAAATAGTCATAGGCTCCCGAATATTAGACACAGAATTGTGCATAGTAACTGAAGAATTCTCCGATCTCCGATACCTGATGAACACTAATGGCTAAAACGCAAATAAAATTATTGCCTAATTTCACGAGTTTACTATTTGATTAGCTATGGTGGTTTTCACTGTCATGCCATCAAAAATAAAAATGGAAACCTTTTAATACAGGAAGTCTAGAATCTGGGAAATGAAAGAAGGTAAATACATACAAAGAGCCTTGCCAAGAATCAGGTCTGGCAATATTTCATATACGAGATATTTAAACCTTTTTGCCCGAAATAGTAAAGCTTTGTATGGAGATGCCACGTTTGTGTCCCTTTCAGGGGTACAAATGTGGCCGCCGGAAACCAACAGAAACATCTGTTTTTTAGTTTTCCTGCTAATGAGTGTATTGTTTGCATGAGGAACTCATAAAGATTAAAGTAAAATTTATTCTGAAACAAGAAATGTTTAGATAGCAAAATCTCCCAAAATCGGTAATGTTTTTAACCCACATAAGAGCTTTCCTGGTGGTCAGCTAAATGCTGCATCACGCAAAAGCCTGGAAATTCAAGCATCCTGTATCGGAAAACACAGAACCCTTTAAAACTAAAAATTTGTTTGTATAAAGGTTTTAAGGTGCTGTAATACCACATGAAAGTAGAACTCGGGAGAAGCAATAGTTTCTAACTTTGAATTTTGGTGACGCCGTGTGAAAACCAAGAATTAATATCATGGGTGACATGTTACACTCATAATTGTGGGTTTTTGACGAGTTTATTGTATTAATCAAGAACTCCATGCACTGAAAAGTTTAGAGCTTAAATTTTGGCTTAAGTTCATAATTTTCGAAATTTTTCAATGAAATACCTGATAGAACTTTCTTGATGTGCTCTTTTATGTGTATACAGGTTTTCTAGTGTCTTTTAATGCCCTGACACTACTCATAACATTTTAAAACCTTGACACCATCTTGGAACTGAGACATCCAGAATGTTGCCAAGGCAATTTTGTAATTTCACAGAAATTATAAATTAATGCGGAAAAGTTTGCCGCCGAAATAAAATATATATTATTAAGGAGTAATTTGTCACCCACGATGTTAGTTGCTGTCATGTCTTATTTGAATAATAAAATTTATTGTTATTAGTTACCCCTTAGACAATAACAGAGGCCAGTTGCATATTATATTGTGTCTTCGGTCAAAACTGGATGTCTGGCATTTTTGACTGGGTGGAACATCCAATGATAGCTGTTACATCAGACATCAAGACAAGTTTTACATTCTTCAAATGATCCATTATTTAAATGTCAATACATTGAAAAATAGAAGGAGTTTTGCAGTGGGAGAATACTAAAGCTCAAAGAGATGTGTTAAAATGCTCAATGTATTTCAAGAGACAATTTCATTTCATAAAAGATCACTGATTAGTCCAGTTTTGAATTTGTCATGGCCCCTGAATAGAAGCACTGAAGGCTCATTTATACAGGGTTAGCCTTGACCTAAGGTAAATATATTCACAAATTCCAGTCAGAAGAAGACCTAGTACAACTGTGTCTATTGTTTTAAACTCAAATTCAGGCACCTCTTAGGTATTTGTGAATGTTTTACTTTAGGTTGAGACTAACCCTGCGTAAATGAGTCTTCAGTTCTTCTATTCAGCAATCGGGAAGAATTCGAAACTGAACTATTCCCTCATGATCTTAAACAGAACTTTACTATACTGTGTGTGCCACCAGTAGCACAAGTATAAATATGTTTCAACTTGGGCTATCTAAAGCTTTCCTGTTTTCCTGTTTACTTCACAAGAAGCTCCAGTGTATGCTATAAAAAGTAAAATTTACTCTGCTTAAATTGTCATCTTTATTTTCCAGGCAATGCAGGAAGGGAAGGTCCAAAATGTAGCTGTTGTAAGGACAACAAATGTCATGACACCTGTCACTCAAGTGTTAGTGCCTGGTCATGTTGCAGCTACAGGATCAGTCCAGATGGCAAAGATTGCTCCTGCTACCACAGCACTACCAACCCAACTAACCACCGTTCTTCCGGCTAGTAACATTACTTCTGGGGTTCCTGTGGTACAGCCTGCTGTGACCTCCACCAAGACTATTCTCCCACAGACAACCTTACAGCAAGTTCAAGGCCATAATGTGGTGATCAATCGTGCAAATATGCAGCAGCTACAAATGTCTGGAGAAGTTGGTAAGTTACATACATACATACTTTATTTGGTACAGTGGAACCTCTCTTCAGGGGACACCCATGAGGCCGAGGCAAGTGTCCTCTGAATAGAGGTGTCCCCTGAATGAAGTTTGGGCTGGAGTTTGTTATTAAGAAAACAAGGTAATAATTTATAATATATATTTATTCTGCCTTAGAAATCTGCTGCAGTCATTATAAAGCAGCTGGACAATGTATAAAAAATCATGATGAACGTGTCTCTGCAATATTGTGTTGAATTTTCACAAGTGCAGTACATTGATTTAAGCCAGATAGTTCAGTTTGTGAAAGCTGGCATCATTGTGATTACTGTACATGCATTTAAAGTTATCAACCGTCTTTGTGATCAGTCATGTTTTGGGTGCTAAGGTGTTCCCTGAATGGAGGTTAAACCTGTTTCTTGGGACCCAGAAGAAGTGTCCCTTTTCCCTGGAAGGAGGTGACCCTTCAATAGAGGTAACAGATACAAAGATAACGTGAACAGTTTTCTGGGATAGATTCTGAATGGAATTGTCTTTTGAATAGAGATGTACCAAAGGATAGGGTCCACTGTAATCAGGTTGGGAAATGGAATGACAGCCAAAGGGTTGTTGTGGACCTACTACCAATAAAATAAATAGTAAAGCGAGCAAGAGTGATGCAACTAAATAGCAGGAAAATACAACCATACAGTGGTTTTTGAAGACCAGGCTTTTCAGTGGTCCAGCCAGGGTTTGATCCCACAACCTCATGCTCAGCAGTTAATGTTCTCCTAATCAAGCTAATCGAAGGGCTGTTAGTCTTGGCTAATAACTTATGTTTGCATGAACTAGACTGATAAACTATATTCATTGTTATGTCCTGTTTTTGTCAGCGCAACAAAAGGGGACACCACCTCAAGCTACACACCTTCAAGTCAGTCAGTCACCAGTCCGATCTGTTTCACCAGGTCAGCAGATAACCATTAGAAATGTCACACAAACACTGCCGGTAACACAGACAGTGAAGACTGCTGCCACTACATCAGACAGACCTGTACAGGGTATGTTCCATGCTGTCTCTACCAACAGGGACTTTAAGATCCAATGATGCAAGGGCAACGACGTCACTTAAAAATTGAATGTGGGTTCTCTCAGTCTTTATCGCAGTTATTCCCACCCACTTACTGTGTCAAATGTAGGTGAACCCTTCTGAAGTTGAATTCCAAGTGACTTTATCCAGGTTCAGAAAGTGGAATGAAATTTTGTTGTTGCTCGTTTACTTACTTCATAAAAAGCGAAATTAGTCATTTCCACACGGTCCTTAGTAGTGCAAAAACCGCAAAGAAATGTACAAAAAAGTGTGATGCACATGCAAAGTTGTTGTTTTGCTTATAAAACGTTTTTCTTTTTGCGTTCTCGTTGCTGTCACATCGGTGGATCTTAAAGTCCCTAATATCTGTCTGGCCGGTGGTATAGAGTTTTTCTTGTAAACCAACCGGCCCTGCTTGTTCAAATGTTGGATAGTGCTATCCAGCAGATAAATCACTATATCCAGTGGATATGATTTCGTTATCCAGTGGATAGAGTCTCATCCATTGTATAGCATTTTCCTCTGTTTGAATAGCTGGGTCCTGGTTGTGTACGTGTTTCAAACATAATTTGAACCTTGCAAAATTAGACCACTATCTTGGTGGTCATTTTGAAGTTGTATTGTAGCTTGTTTTTTCTACTAAACCTCGACTTTCATTTAATTCTGGCTGGTCTCTTGTGTTCTGACCATTGGCCAATCACAATAAAGTTCAAGACATGTAAGAGAACCTCAAAACTTCCAACTTATTACCATTGCTTTTTGTGGTTAAGTTTTCTTGTGCCTGACTGGCTTTTTCTACGTAACACAATAACATGCCATAACTATTTCTGGTGTTCTTGGTTTCTGAGATTCATAGCCTGTGAGTACAGCTGTTTCACTTTGCTCCTTGCAGCTGTATTTGCAGTCTATGAGATTCATAGTAACACATCTTATAAAATGTTTTGCATCATTTCGTTTTTATAGGTTTAATTTTTGAAGTAAATCATAGAGTTACAGACAGTTTTATTCAAGAGAGAATATTTCTTCCAGGAAGTAGTGGCTGAAATTCATTCTATTTTTCTGGTTATTTTTTCTATTGTAGGGACCCAAGGCACACTACAGACTGTAACTTTACAGAGACCCTTGGTGCAGCAAAGCAAATCACCTGTTAACATGCCTATCACCCTAGCTCCGTCAGGCACAGTGTCAGCTGCTGTGCCATCAGGTGGTCATGTTGTTACCAATATCGCTCCAGCTCCTGTAGCAGCCGCCGCTACATCAAAGGGACTTCACAGTACTGCACAAACACCTGGTAAAAATTGACTCTCATCGCTTGTCTTTTATTTGTCTGTGTTGTCTTAGGTTTAAGCTGTCTTTACTGCTACAACACCTTAAAATTTTATCTCACTCCCAGATCCAAGGGTTATGGGAACTGGTGATTGAAAACTTGAATCAGAGGTTAATATAACGGACTTCTTAAATTTTGTAGTATACGCCATTTCCGAGATCCAAAGTGTAAAACCTTTCTTGTGAAAATGAGTTTTTTTTTCAAGAGAATAAAAAATCCTTTTCATATCAGTGGCTTCACACGTAGTCTCGCTTTGAAACAGAGGCTGGGGACAACTCCAAAATGTCCTATTGATTTGAGTCAATCACAGGCTTCAATATGAAGTAACAAAACATGGAATCATCTCTTTTTTACATATATGTTCCTCTGTGTTCGTAGTTTTCCTTAAAATACCTTTTGGATAAGCCTAACTAAGAATAACAGATATGCATTTTTTCTGTCCCCACTTTTGGACTTACCGTAAAATTCCGAAAATTAGCCCTTCCAAATATAAGCCCCCCAAACCGGTGACGCAAAAAACCCTCCGTTAAATCGCCCCTCCAAATATAAGCCCCCCTAGAGGCTTGTGCTTTGAAAATTGCCGTCAAATACAAAGTAAAACAAAGCAAAAACAGTTTAATTTACTTTGAACTATAAGGCTAGCCCAATCGATTTGTAAACGCAAATTTCCCTCCGTAGATAAGCCCCTCCGAATATAAGCCCCTCTAAAAATAAGCTCCTCAAAAAGGGCCTTTGAAAAATATAAGCCCCGGGACTTATTTTCGGAATTTTACGATATTTTACTGCCAGAACTGACAGATATATAAGTTTTAATTCCTCACTGTCATCAAGCAGTCCCAATTAGGACTACCTTTACCCTTACTATCATACTCCGCCTACGAATGAAATGACTCCTGGGTTCAGACCTTTCACAGTTTTTAATTCCTCAGTTAGAAACTGAAGATACAGGGGATGTTAAGATAATTCATTCCAAATCGTTTTAAATTGTCAACCCCAGTTTCTAATCTTTTTTGGTTACTGGAAACAATGTCAAGCTTACCACCAGGCTAAAATAAACAGATGTAGCAACTACTCATACTGTTTTATTGTCTTAAAATACCAAAGTAGATCTGGAGATCTACCTACTCGTGACTTTAACTTGGAATTCGTCAAAGCAATTCGCCCAAAAGTTTTTACTCTTTTTAAAGAAACATTTTGTTTATAAAGTCAAGTCAGTGCTACATTGTTTAACATTTGTCGATCGAGATATGGCAACTAGCTGTTGTTATCAACGGAACAAAGCCCATCTCTTTCCTCGTTCAACAACGTTCGACGTGGTGTATGGCTCGTTTCAGCTTTGAGCGTGAGCTGCAACATTTGTTGGTCCACATAGTACGCTGACCATTCCCGACAGATTGCCGACAGGTAACCGAGCAGTTAACCGACTGTCGGTCATTAGTCGGCCAACACTTTTCCGTTTTTAAAAAGTGGAAAAATTGTCGTCCGACTGTTGGCTTGGCAATTTGTCGGCCGACTGTTGGTCGACAGTCTATAGATAGTCGACCGACAAATTTTTGGGGGAGATGTCCTTCAATTTTGCCGACGTGTTGAACCATGTGTCAATGGCCGCCGCTTAAGGAAACAGTGTTAATGATAATATTCTTTCTAGGAGCATCTTTAAGAGGAGACAGCAGTAGCCCTGCTCCAAATCAAGTTCTAACAAAGCGACGACTACAGGACCTTCTTCATGAAATTGATCCTAGAGAACAGATGGATGATGATGTAGAAGATGTGAGTTGAAAAGAATAATGAATTGTTACAATGGAGATATGCCCGACTTTCCCACTTTTTTTATTTACTGCGTAAACGCGAAAACAGCTCATTTTCTTTGAAAAGTAATCAAAGTTACAAGTAAGATCTAAGAACCCTGGAAGATCAGGTCAGTTTAAAAACTTGCAACAGATTAACGTAGAAACTTGGCCATCAATAGAGAGATTTAAGATCAAGCTTAGGGTAAACGTGGATTTGTACCACGTGACCAAGTTTCCCCTGTCTTTCACCATTCATGATATCTAATTGGAATTCCCCTATTATTAACCTGATTCCTACGTTTGCCATAAACGTGATCCTTAGTCTCTCTAATAACAACGTTAACCTCTTTGGACTAACGATATTAGACTAACCTATCATGCATAATGTTAACTTTAATTAATTTGTACTACTATTACGGTGGTTATAGTCAACTCACTGGCTTTGCACAAAGCACTTAATTAGGACCAGTCCTAAGTGTAAAAAACTTCTTAGAGAGGTGTCCACCTAATTAGAGAAAAAAAAAAGGAAATCAACGAGAATGACTGAAGAAAAACCTGCCTCCCAGTGATGTGGAAACTCCTCACATCAGTTTTGGGTGAAGAGCTCTATAAACATCTTTTGACTTGCCAACACCCAAAAGGCAAAAAATGTGAGATTCTGAACCTTGAGCTGGGAAAAGTAGTGAGAAATGAGTAAAAAGTAATGAGATGTCCCAATTTTCCAAGTGGAAGGTCTTCCAGCGGGGATTATGGGTATTGGAAGCCTCATATCACTTTAAAGCTGGAGATGTAAACATCACGATCAATTTTACGATTTAGGTTTCGTAATTTCTATGTTTTGTTAGCGGCCATCTTGAGACATGTCACCACCAAATGTCTGTACATTTGGTGGTAGCAGTAAGTCGCGGTAGGCTAAAAGAATGTTATCAAACACGATCGCCAAGGGTATTTTTTAATGAGCTGGCTATCTATCGATGTCTAACTCGGAAACGAACCCTACGGCTCCAATTTTTTTTTAGAGTTTGACTTTTTGAGAAAGCGTGAGAAATCAGTTGCCAACTCGTGAGAGAGCGAAAAGGTTGTCGGCGAATCTCCAGAAGGCAGAACTTAGCAACTTTAGCTTTCCGATTGAGGTGTCCATGTTAACTCGTGACTTCTGCTGAGGGAGAGTTCACCCAAATACAGTAATATCTTAGAGTAGATTCAACTCCATCTCCACAATTTATGCTAAGTAAGGTTTTGTCGCCTAAGGTCAGGGTTAAACTGAACTTTTCCTCTCGTTTTAGCTGCTGCTTCAGATCGCCGATGACTTCATCGAGAGTGTGGTAACGGCATCATGTCAGATTGCCAAACATCGGAAGTCTAACACACTGGAAGTGCGGGATGTTCAATTACACCTTGGTTAGTTTGCACTCTATCGTTAAAATTTGTTCTTTATAAAGAATGCAAGCTCAGGAAATGGTAGTTAAAGTGGTCACTTGACAAAGTTTTCGACAATCGTTTTGTTTGACATTTTTTCCAAACATTTTTGACAACTTTTGTGGGTTTTAATGAAGAACCGATCACAATTTTAGCGGGAAGTCATTCATTTGAAAGGGTTTGTTCCTCTGAAACTGGAAAACTGTGCCTCGATTTGAATGGTTCTGTATCACAAAAAAACCCATCTAAGTTCTCAAAAATTTGTCTAGAACAGGTCAAACACATTGTCGAGTGGCAAGCGGTCGCGCGACCCTTTAATGTACAATTTTGGCCAGATTTTGGCAGTGAGATCAGAGGCAGTTATTATCGAATTGTAGTATCAGTTTGTGCACTAAAGTAATGATAGCATTTATTACACTGATATAAAGTTTTGCATTTATACAGTGACAGCCACAATCCATGAGTGCTGCATTGTGCATTTTACAGCAATTTTCAAATGAGTGCAGAAACTGAATGCCTGATTATTTTTGCCAAGTTACAGTTTGTGAGATTGGCTGTCAATCTTGCGCCTTTTTCTCAGCCAGAGGTCCAAAACCGAAACCGATTTTTTGTTCACCCGCATTTTCCCGCGCTTCCCATCGTTTACATTTGTTTGCTTCGAGATATGATTGGTTCATTGATTGATATGTGTGATGTGATTGGCTAGATGGAATTACTATGTTTTTGGTTTGTACGAAGTAGGTTCTAAGTTCTACCCCAATACGACACTTATTTCTGTGATTCGCTCGGTATTTCTGTGTTTATACAGAACGATGCTGGAACATGTGGATTCCAGGATTTGGTAGTGATGAACTGCGACCTTTCAAGAAACAGGCTACAACAGAGGCTCATAAACAGGTTAGTAAGAGGAAAATTTACGTCACTGTATCGTCTCTCACGTTAGCGATTCTCTCTCCATACGTAATGTTATTAAAAAATAAATGTGTAGTGCAATTCCAGAGCTTTAATTGGCCTTGTGGCCATTGTTTCTGAGCCATTAGACCATGTGCGAAAAAATACAGATAACGGGCAGTATTATAGAGCAGGTGTCATCTTATAAGTTGCTCGGTGTCCATCTGTCGCACAATTTATCGCGGTCTATTCGTGGTCTATATTGTGAAGAGAGCACGCAAGCGTCTCTACGTTTTGCGTGTCTAAATGAAATCAGGCCTCCCACCAGCTGATCTCATTCAGGTTTATTGTAGCCTTGTTCGGCCCATTTTAGAATATGCATCTCCGGTGTTGGCAGCGTTACCCAACTGTCTGGTTCAATTGGTGGAAAGCGTGCAGAAGTCTGCACTAGGAATCATTTTTCCAGATTGCTCTTATGAGTCGGCACTCGTGCGCTGTGGCTTGCCTACACTGTTGTCACGCCGTGATGAGGCTTGCAGGCGTTTTATATCTAACATCAAGGAGTCCGGGTTCCTTTCACACCTGCTGCTGCAGCCCACAAATGTCGCTCATGGCTACGGGTTGAGGTCGGGTTTTTCCCGTTCTGAATTCCGCTTTGTCAGAACGGACCGCCTTAGTAATTTTGTTACCCACAGTTACAATAGGATTTAATTGTTTTTGCCTTCTTGCCATGTGTAATTATGTGTTCTGCGTATACTTGACCTCCCTTGTAATTTAGTGTTATACACTACCAAAGGGTTTAATAAACTGATTATTATGAAATGGCCATTTTAATCGTAATCTGGTTGTTCTTACAAATGTTGAGATAAACATACAGTAATAAATGTACTTGGATATGTGATGATTATTACCAAGTCGACACTTCGCGCGACTCGGCGGGCGTTGGTGGAATAATGACTTCTTTAATTATTTAGACAAGGCCTCAAATAAGTTTAATTTTTGGAAATGACGTTGGCGTGCACTGGATTGAAGTAGTGTATTGGTATTATTAATGTTTTAGTCGTTTACTTGTGATGCTAAAAAATTAAATAATGAAAAAATTCTCGCTATTTTAGAATATTTATAATTGTTCTTTAACCGTGCCGTCATTTTAAATGATTTTGTCCGAGCTCATTTCACAGGTTGCTTTGTTTGTTTTTTTGTTGCAGAGGATGGCATTAATTCGAAAGTCCATGAAAAAGTAACCCACTGAGAGAGAGCTATGTAGAGGAGATGCTCAAATTTATTGTATAAAATGAACTGTTATTTATGGTTAATGGACCATATGGCGAAAAATGGTGTCAATTTGTCGCGTCTCATTGAAAAAATTTATACCCACGCGGCTACAACATTGAAGACAGAAATAACAACAAGGTGTCTTTTTGTAGAATTTTTCAAATCTAACGCAATTTATTTATGTAGGCTAGCTGTTTTTCTTTTTTTACGTCTTTTCTTGTTTATATTGAAGATGGAACTGATAGTTTCTTTCATGGACAGTTAGTCATGCATGTTAATTCTACTGCTAAGCAGTCGTCATGCTTCCTCAAAATCGGTTTTACAAAGAGCAAAGCGCTGGCGTGAGATTCTCGCGCGAAGCCTGCAAGCCTCACACCGCGTACGTGCGAGACAGTCTCGCTCTCCTTTTTCACCCTCGTCCCAGACCGTTCGTTTGACTGCTCGCACACATCGCACGTTTTTAACCTTCGCAAAAATACGTTTTTTTATTTAAGGGCGTGTGAGGAGACACAGGTTTCGCTTAACTAGTAGACGACTCCTTTTTCGTAGTCATGTCTGAACTTCTGGGGTTTATGAAGGTTGAAAATCTTTTAAAAATGAAGTAAAATCGTGGATTTCAATTATTACTGAAATCGGTTAACACGAGTCCTTCATTCACTGAGCTGAGCCAGTCAGAAATAGAATTCGTCCTTGCTTCTGCATTTCTTTGCGATGTGATTGGTGGAAAAAATCTCGCACCACTTTATTAACATGACTGCATCCCTGCGAACAGACTTGAAATTGTTTCATAAGCAACAGTTTCAAAGTTCATGTTCTGAGACGATAATTTTTATATGAAAACTTGCTTTTCTTTGCTATTGATATTCTCATCGGGAAGCCCGTAATTACTTTGGTTTTGGTATCACGACACTTGATTGAAACGTTTTGGTAATTTGTTGAAACTTATGACAATCCTTTATAGAAACAATCATGTATGGCCTTTCGAGAAGTGTGTGGTATATACAGTGTGTGGAAGGTCCACCTTTACCTGTAAATTTAAAATAAACACTATGTTTCCACCTCTTAGTTCTTTTTGTTTTTATTTCCATCCTCGGAGACCCTGGGGCGGTCAGTCGGGTCGGGAAAAACAGCGGCAACCTGGTTTTCGTGACACCACCACTTTTTTGTCTTGTTTCCCCGCGAAATAACGTCCGAGGAACAAGAGCAGAAATTCCATACTGATGACGCGTCACTACCTAGGTCTGGGTAGTGCTTCTCATTGGTTGAAAGTTTTAACCTATAAGAAGCACTGCTCAGATCTGGGTGGTGACGCGTCATTGCAATGGAATTCTCTTCTCTCGTTCTAGCGTCACGATATGCAAGCTATTTTTGTTCCCTACTTTGGCGGGGTTGAGGTTTATGGAGAGGTAAATTACAAGAACAGATAAAGTGAGCAAGAATTTCATGCACACGTACAACATGTTGCAAGAGTTCCTCTCAGTTTTTCGCTTGAGAGATTCCTGTTCTACATTTGTTCAGAGATTTGAATGATTTATACTGAAATGACAACTTTTGCGCACCAACATTTAATTATGGGTTTTCAACGGATCACTCGTCGATAGCTAAATTACAGAGACATTTTCACTCCAAAAATCACGGTTTATTTTCGTAAATTTTGCGATAGCGGACATCATGTCTAGAACTTCAATGAAAATCAATAAATATTCCTTCCCCCTACACCTCAGAAATCCGTCTGTATATCTATAATCTATATCTTCTATACTAATCTGGTCCAGTATGAAAAATTTCCTGTGCTTCGATTCGTACATAATTCAGTGTTGATGTAAATGACAAACAGCGGCGATAAACATTGTGAACTATCGCATTTTTATATAAACTTGACGTTTGGTATACTAGTTAACATTTTAAGCTCACAATGTTTATCACCGCTGTTTGTGTTGTATTTTTGATAAAACTATGATGACCCAAGAACAAAAGTCTTTAGATTACTCCTCTCACGCAAACGTATTTCAAGATAATTCTGCCATTCCGCTAAGGCCCCGTTTCCAAGGAGAAAAGCTTTCCCGCGACAGAGGGGAACATTCCCAGCCGCCTCAACTTTAGCGAGAGTTTATATGACAAAAAAGTTGACGCCTTTGCCCGAGCCAAGAGCGCTCGCGCATGCTCTGATTGTCCTGACCCGGCTGAGCGAGCCAAAGAGTTTTTATATGGAAAAAAAGTTGATCTGGTTAGGAGGGTGACCCTAGCATCTTCTAACCGAGCCAACTCTTTGTTTGTAGTGTAAACGGTTCGCCAGGTTCTGGAAGGAAATGTATGAAAACTGGCTCGCCCATAGTAGTTCACTTGGTGGGCGAGTTACACTTTTAGCCCGGGGAAGTTTTCTCCATATTAACAGAGCCTAAAACGGACACCAGCTTACGTTCCTGAAGGTGTCCGCTACTTTCTTTCTTTGAAAATATTCGGGTGTAAGAGTTCTTTTGTCATGCAGTCCAACAAATCAGTACAACACTATTTCGGTAGTAAATAATCGGAAACGACAACATATCTAAAAGACGAGATTGTGAACGCACCTATAAAAACAGAGTAAAAAAATACAACATTTGAAGTCGTAATTCAACATGCGCAATGTGCGCCACGAAATGTTCGTGAAATCAAATCCGTTAAAATCGATGTGAACAAATTTTCTGTTTGTAATAAGAGCTTAGCATTGTCTTCAAGTCAACGAAAATGTTTCATTTTTTGCATAGCAACTGAAATGAACAAAACAGAGGCCAGTTGCAGGAAACCTCATCAAGGCTACGTTCACAAGACACCGGAAGTATTTTGGACAAGGTTTAAAAACATAGTCGAGCGTTTAGCTGTTCCGTTCACACGAAAGTACCTTAACAGTACGAAAATTCAGTGCCAGTCGGAGTTGGAGGGTGTTATCCTAAAAGACCCTAGAAGCCTACTCAAGGCTACGGCCTCGGCGGATTATACCCTCATCGATCTCCATAATTCTTCAGATGATACTCAGCCTCATTAAATACCTGCTAAATCACTAAGCTAGATGATGAGACCTCGCTAAAGAACGAGGCTAACCTAGACTGATTTCTCCTTCAAACGTTCCCAAACTCGTGTGTTTCACTGTACAGTACCGCAAATGATCTCTCACCGCAAATGATCCCCCAAAAGGGATCGCAAAAGATCCTCGACCGTAAGTAATCGCCACTGTCAATTACTGGTTAGCATTTAAGCTAAACTGAACTAAACTCCAACAAACTGTACTGAGTTAAACTAGATATAATATTTTTACGAAGAAATTCTTCTCAAATCCGAACTAACGGATACTCAGTATCAACCACAGAAAATTTCATGGTTTTACGCATTGTTCAAGTTTTCGACACCATGCACCATCCGTGCCTATAATCCATTCCGCTCCTGTACTTTAAACGCGATCATTTGCATTAGGTCCATTTCGGGGATAATTTGCGGTACTATAGATCACTAATGGTTGGGAAAAACGACGGGCCATTTAACTCTTGCAGCGACGCGTAACAACGACAAAATCAGAATGTACGTACATGCAATAAAATGTTGGCGACCTATTTGTTTTCACAGTGTACAAACATCAAAATTCTGATGGTAGACTGAGTGGGATGCAAAATTGTTCATACAATGACACCTAGCACCTTGAAATATTTCTACCCCCGAAGTATGTGTCATAAAGTTCAACGAAACTAACTAACGCGTCGTGTTTCCCAACCTTATAGATCGCTAACGATATTAATATGTCCTGGACCCGGTCGCTTAGAAAGGGTCAACAGTATTTAACATTTATTTCTGGCACCCGAGTAGGCTCTGAGTCAATAGGGAGCTTAAGCAACAACAACGGCGACAACTACGAAAACGTCACTAAAAAGTGAATTTACTCTGCCTCAAACTTTATCGCGCTTATTTCATCTCGTTTAATTCGTTAAATGATGGCAAATTTTTTTGGAGTTGAACTCTAAAGGACTGTATCAAATTCAGGAAAAGAAAAAGAAAGTTGTTGTCTTGTGGTCCGGCCCTCGACAAAACGTTAAATAAGGCAAATTCATGTCGTAGTCGTGCAGTAACGGCAAAGAGATGTACAAAAGAGTGTGATGCATGTGCAAAATCGTTGTTTTGCCAATCTAAACCTATTGGTTTTTTGCCTTTCTCATTCACGTCGGCGTCATCGTTGCTTAAGCTCCCTAAGAGCCCATGAGGCCTTCGGTCTCATGGGCTATTGACTCAGAGGCTATAAGGACGAGAGGAATAATTGTTTTTAATTAGTAAAATCCAACTAGTTGGTCAAAAATATCGAGACAAAACAACTTTAGCTAGAAAAACGCGATTCAGCCGCCATTGTTTTGGTTTTCGCTACTCGTGGGCTATAACATATAGCCTAATAGTAGCTCAACCAATCAGAACGCAGCATTGATAATAGACCACTAGTTGGATTTTACTAATTAATTTTATGTAGCTCAGGGTAGTTAGATATAGGTTACCATTTTTTCTTGTGCTGTATACATTTCTGATGTACCCATGATTTGCTGGATCCGCCTCCCAAATGAGTTATCTCATCGATTCCTGCGCGGATTGGACTTCTACATTTACTGCACCAAGTGTTAAACCTTGCTACGAATGATCTTCGTCCTCGCTTCGATGGAGTCCCTCCAGGACTCGGGAGCGACGCCGACCTTGGTCGATTTCCTTTACTTGGGAAGGTGTTGTATGCGCGCTTCGCTGAAGTAGAAGAGGTTGTCGCGGTGTTGGGTGGGGTATGTGGAGGAGTAGAAAAAGCTGAACTTTCGGAGAATCTCCTAGGATACGTTTTGGGGCTACCGCTATTTGAACCTGGTGATACTTGATTGATTGACGATGGCAAGGTGTTTGAAGCGCTCATTCTGAAGCCAGCAAGACTTTCAGAAAACTGTGAATACGCCGCATTTCCTACTGCACCAGCTCTGTCTTCATCTCCTTTCTCGCTAGTCACTCCTGAGGTACTTCTCTCAGTCAGAGACTTTCCAGAAGACAGAGAAGTTTGTTCGCACATGTTCTTAATTTCTCGTTTAACATGGCAGTTCGAAAAACCTCTAGTCTCTTGTTTGATGTTCAGTTTATTTCCCGAAGCTTGATACTCGCCCCCTGTCCGTGTGTTACTTTTCTGCGGCTGGGAACTTTCCACATCAGAAGCCCAAGCAAGAATTTCGTCCTCTTCCTCTTCATCAAACTCATCCCCCCAGATGAGGTTCTCACTTGTCTCAGTTTCACAGCCTCTGTTTGGTGGAGTCTGTGGAGGAGAAGGGAATGCTGAACTAACGGGGCAACTCCTATTACCCTGAAAAACACTACAACTGTTGACAGCTGGTGATAATTGATTGGCGGCCAAAGACAGCGTGTTTGTGCCACTTAATGCATGGCCCGTCAGACTGTCAGAGGGCAGCAAGCAGGGACTTGTTACTGCATCAGCTTCCTCTTTCCCGAGGTTTTCGCTCCTCAAAGATGGGATAATTCTGTCATCAAAGGAATTCCCAGAATCCACGAAAGTTTGATCGCCCATGTCTTCAACACCAGACTGGACAACCTGCCTAATTTGACAGCCTAAAAGGTTCCTTCTCTCTTGTTTGATTCTTAAATTGTTTCTAGAGATGTAGTATGTGTCATCTCCGGTCGTGTTGCTGCTTCGTTGAGTTTGGGAACTTTCTACTTCTAAGGCCCAAGCCAGGATCTCATTATCTTCCTCTTCTTTAAGTTCATCTTTCCAGAATGGGCTCTCGCATGTGCGACTTCCACAGCCATCTCCCTTTTGAAGATCTCCCATGCAAGACACATCGCCATTAGAACTAAGATGCTGACTCGAAAAGACATCACTGTGATCATCACTTTCAGGAAAAATGCTGCTGACGTCATTAGCTGGAGAAGTGGTAACATCCTCCTCTACATCACTATCAGCTTCATTGGAAACAGGTGGCTTTTCTAAATCTGAAGTAAGAAACCTCTGTAATTTCGTGTTTCTCGAAAAAGGCTTCGTTTTAACTGCTGTTTCCAAATGCCTAGGATGGTGGATTATTATAACTTGTCGAACACCTCGAGTGACAGCGGTGTACACATGTTGGCAGGTTTGGTAGATAGGGCTTCCCACGACGTATACAACTGTGTCAATCTCTGATCCCTAGAACAAAGATATAGACAAAATGTATGTCAAATGTATGTTGGTTATACTTTCATGAATTCTGGTTTACGTACCAATGTAAATAATAAATGCTTTATTTTTATAGCGGAAGTTAACTTGAGTGCTCTAGCTAGCTTACAGGCACTCCACTTAAATAATCGGAAACAAAAAAGATACAAATATAACATAACAGGAGGCAAACAGTTGGCTATTTACGAGAATGACCGTTCATTTGAACTCGGGACGACCGAGAAGCAAATCCAGCTAGTGGTCAGGGCGGGACACACACCCAGGATCGCAGGATTGCGAGTCCAAAGCGCTGATCACTCGGTCACGCCACCTCCTAAAAACGATGAGCTTTGACGTAACGACCGTCTTGTTGGCAATGGGCGGCAAGATTTGAGAAACAGCGAGAAAACTGCTATAGAAGCGTGTGGAAATTCTACACAGTGGAAGCTCTCGAGTGCGGACACCCTCGGGAAGCGAAAAAGGTGTCTGTAATTGGAGCCGGCCGCTTACGGAAAAGTAAAAATACAGAGATTGTATTGGATTTGAGTAAAGGGGGGTTTTGTGAAGGTATCCGTAAGTAAAGCTGTCCCTTTACGAGAGTGTTCGTCGGGAAAGCTTCCACTGTATAACATTATCCAAGTAGCTGAAATTCTCACGTTTTAAACCTTCCCTTCAGATCGTGTTTTCACAATTTTTCGTTACCGACGTCTTCAACTAAACGTGTGAAAAAACCGAATAAAAAATGAGAGATATCCTCAAAACTAGCCTGCCGAGAAAACAGCTGACATTTCGCGCCTGACGCCACCACTGGTTTCTCCACGAAGTGATGTCTGAGGGACGACTGCAGGAATCCCATAATCGCGATAGAGATTGAAAGAACACAAATTCACTTTTTAAGTGACCTTTTCGTACCCGTCGCCGTCGTGGTATCTTAAACTCCCTAATCGTATGAATCATACGGTCATAAGGGAGAAGAGTTACATACATACCTGGTAGGTGTGGATCGTCCTGGCCCAGGCATGGCAAAGTTTAGCCTTCTTCAACATCTTTAACTCAACCTTGACGATCTTCTCTCCGTTGTCCAGAGCTAGGTAGGTTGTTTTCTTTTTACGGTTATCCTCTTCGTCAATAACTTCTTTTATGAAGAAGATCTCCCCGTTACAGAACTTCACGTCTTCCTTGGTGTAAGCATCGAAGCAAGCGATGTTCTTTTTCACACAGACTTTATCTCCAGCCTGGAAGTCGTATTTTCCTTTGCAATTCTCAATGGAATGGTTATTGTAATGAACCGCACACAGTTCATTAACATTCAAGCAGTCTCGTCTCCGGAAAGCAATAAACTGCGACTTATCAGGCCCTGGCAAAGTGAGCCCTGATATTTTGTTTTGCAGCAAGTCTCGCACCACCTGTGTAACCGCCATGTCATCTGACTCAGTTGTGACGTCACCATGCTTTGATTGACACTCAAGTGAAATGAACCCTCTGTTGGGATCATCTGGGAAGCGAGGCAGCTCTCGACGACAAATCCTGCTTGCATTGTCAACAATAAGTTGAGACTCTGCTCTGTGATTGGTTCTTAGCGTGATACTGGAGCCATACGGTAAGAGAGCTTGGTACATATCACTTAAAAAATTCCCAGGTTCGATGGATGGCAGTTGATTCTTATCACCCAGTAAGACTATCTGTTGCAGTGAAGTTTTCTTCATGAGTATATTTATAAGGGTAGAAAACGTCTTGACAGAAATTAGCGAACTTTCATCACAGACAAGAATCTTGACATCTGAAAATTTCCACGGGGAATGGCTTTCATTATTCTTGACTTCCTTCAACCAGCGAAGGTAACTAAAAATAACAGAATGCAGTGTGTATGACGGTACACCAGTGCGTTTGCCCAAAATAGAAGCAGCTCTGCCTGTTGGTGCAGTCAGTAACACAGAATCACCACATGGGTCGGTCTTTTTAATCTTCTTGGGCGTGTTCGGAGAAGAGCGGTCGTCCTTAACAGGAGTTTCTGAACCAGAACACATCGGGCTTACAAGTGGACTTGAGATGCACTGAGCGATGTCTTGAGTGGCATCAGCGGAACTTTGTGAATTCTCAACAGACGTAGATTCACTTTGTTTTGTACACGACTCGGTTGCGGCCAAATGACTTCTCTTCACTTCTAGTGCCTTTGATAACACTGTGGATACCACATGGGTTTTGCCGCACCCACCCCTCCCTGACAACACTACTACAGGGCTCGTTGTTATCAATTTTGCCGCTCTCAACTGGTCTTTGTCGCCACCAAAGGCCTAGAGACCGAAAACAAGAAAAAGTTAACGCCGGTTTACACGTATCAGATAAGGATAAACATAAACATAGACAAGGATAATGCATGGTTTAATTCCCATTGACCCTCAACCCCTCCGGAAAACCCTTTGACAAAACCAGCCCTTCGGACCCGGGGGTGGGGGAAATATTTGAGGCAGTCCTGTCCCGGGGGTAGGGGGCAGGGCAGATAAAAATTAACTTTTCTTTGATCTTGTGAAGTAGGCTAGAATACTGTTTATTTCCAGGGGAAATCTGAAGAATTTGTAGCAGAATGGTCAGAGAAGAATAACCTATCAAAATTAATATCTGTTTGTTATAAATTGTCAAACGAATGCGCGTATAAAGTGCACTCGAATGAATGTCTTTCGTCCAAAAAAGATATTTTCTCCACTACGTATTTATTTTAGGGAGGATGGTAGAACCAGGAGCCCATTCATTTGATGGCGTAAGTATAAGAAAAGAAAACCTTCCTTGTATTTTTTTGGTATTGCATCTAAATTTACGATGCAAGTGTATGATGAAAGGGATGATGCAAGTAGCAAATGGGTGTTTATTGTTGTTGTGGAAACAATTGTTGGTTCGGTATTGTGCGGGTAATTGTTCTTGTTTCTTTTCAATCTATTGTATTACATCATTTAGTGACTACACCCATCTGCGACACCAAGAAACTACCCAGAAATTCAAGCATGAAACTCCTCTTTTCCTTTATTGTTGGATTCATATTTTAAAATTCTCCGGCACCATCTTTAGAATTACCAAAAAACTTCAATACAACTGTAAAATTCTTAAGTGCTCAACGAGGGGGGAAATGATACGCATGAAAATTGTGCATCACATGAAATTAACAACACTCTAATCAGCTAATCAGCTTGCAGAATTGCACAGCGAGCAAAAACATTACAGATCATTCACCTTTTCATCAATCTCCAAATTGTTGACCCACGGACTCTTCTTTCGCATCATCTTACATATGCTCCTAACAATACTTTGCTCGTAGCCGCGAATATGTGGCAAAAACACAGACCGCCCATCACCATCGCCAGAAGTCTTAACCACATTTATCTCCCTCAGATATGCCAGGCTTTCTTCCCAGGTGGTAACACGATAAACTCTTGGTGTGGATGGAGGCTCGTAATATTTGTTACGTTTCAACTTCCACAAAGGAACATAGGTGTGACCATACTTATATGTATCTTTACACAAGGCATTGTAAACGTACAAAGCATCTCGGTTTATAGGAGGCATTTTTTCCATAAGGTTGCAGTTAACAAATGATGGTAGCTTGACCTCACAGCCTGATAATCCAAATCTTTCTTTCATGACAGTCTGGTAACCCAGAATCCATGGTTCATCCTGAAGTGCTTTTGCCATGTCTTGAAGCACTTTGAGATCCAGGGAAGAAAAAAGAGCTTTGAGATGAAGTGGAAAAAGGCGATGAGCAAATTTTGTCAGCTCTGGTACCAGAAAGGCCTTTCCTGTGGCTAAAAAAAAAAAACGAAAATAAAAATGATCAGCCTGCTGTAATAATTCATTACTTTCTGAAATTCTACAGAACCATTTTAACCCTACTAGACTGTTGGTAGTCTGGTATACTAGTATACTATTGGTTTACTAGTTAGCACAAATTGAAAAGAATTGTGGTCTTTTTCTTTGCCATGTTGAAATAAAGGCCATCTGTCTGTGTTTTGCAAAAAATAAGCTTGTTTAGAGGAACTGTCTGCCATTACAGGAAAACAGGGGAAACATAGTGTGAAATACAAATAAATTGATCACACTGATCAGTGATTATTGCGACAATGATCACTGAGGTAGTCTTCAGTTCTGGTTTCCATTAACTTTACCTATACCCTTCACATGGCTGCAGGACCTTATACTTGCTGAGTTAGTGCATAATATATTATGTAAATCAAGCACTTTAATTTCAAACCTTTTTCATATCAATCAATTCAAAAATAAAGAATTGTCAACCCTCCTGAGTTTTTATTTTCATGAAGTGTTAGAGCAGCTACATTGTAATAAAAACTTTAAAAGGGTCATCTTCATTTTGTCATAGATGAGTACATTTGAATTTCTAACATTTTGTGTCACACAGCATTTACATGGCGGCCAAGAGAGCTGTCATATAGGTAAAAAAAAGTAACTTATTTTGGAGGATTTTGCTATCTGAATTAGGAAAAGCATTACTTTAATGTTTATGAGTTCCTTAAGAGAATTGAATTCACACTTTTGTAGCAAGACTCGGGAACAGATGTTTCTGTTGGTTTCTGGCAGCCATGTTGGTGCCGGACCCACATCATGCTGCCTCTATAAATTTAGGTAAAACATTTCTCCAAACATCGCGCATATCAAAAATTGAACCAACCTGAATCTTGGTGAGGGTCTTTGTATATATTTTGTGCATTTAATTATATATATTCATATAGAAATTCGTGCGCTTTAAATTTTAAATTGTTATTTTTATTTTTTCCCCACATTCTAGTGACTTTACAACACATGTATCTATTGAGTGGTTTGGATTTTTACTGTCGTTGGCATGACAGTGAAACGACAAATTATAATATATGGCTGTGATCACACTAGACTTGCTACAAGTCGACCTCACAAGTTTCTTAGCAAGCGGAGCAAGCTTTTTAGACCGCTAAGCGGCCAAGTGAACGAAGAAGTCGCGAATTAAATCAGACTAACGACTTTTTTGAAAGTCTATGGTCACACCAGGGTTAAAAACCATGAGTGTTTAAAATTGTGTTTTTCAGTGTTTTTATTATTTTCAGTCCAACCGGTTTTTTTGCAGTTGTGGTGTTTTAGTATAAGTTGCTTGGGTAATGCAGCATCTAGAAAGGAAATTTATCATGGTGTAAACCACGCTCAAAAGCATGGTAGAGAAGCTTAAGTGTTTAATACACTAAAGTTAATTGCTTTTGAGCCAATCAGAAATTTAGGACAGGAAACCAGTACACTTATACTTCCCAGATAACATTTCCTGGCATTTCCAAACTCGTAGCCATGCACGTACAGGAAAAAGCTAACTCTTTATTGCAAAAACATGAGTTTTCCACAAATTTTTATTCACTTAGAGGACCAAAAGACACAGAAGAAGACCTGTGGTTATTTAACATCTCTGTGAACATGGATAGGCCCAAATTGGTCATCTCCAGTGAGCCATTCTTTGAATTTGCCCAGCTCTGAAGGCAAACATAAGGAGCTGTCTTCTCCAAATCAACTTAATCAACCTAATTGTAAGGTATGCTTCACAATCAAGGCATGGAGAAAAAATAGCCTCCACTTCACAAACAAGAAATAAAAATTAAATTTATGTCTCAACTAAACTTGCCACAAGAGTGCTTTGATCCAGCATGATGTTTTACATGTATTTTTAAATAAAACTTGAAATAAACCCATGTTCATCACCCATCTGTCGGCAATTCAAAAATTCAATCTTATACAAAGGAAATTCTGCGATGGATAAAAAGTTGATTTGGTGTTAACAGTGAAACTAATACCAGATACGTTTACACTGCTGTTATTCTGGAGGTAAACCCTAGTGCGACCGCTGCCAATATGATACAGTAATTAAACACAAGAGTATGGCACACATACGTAACGCAAAATTTATCATATTACAACTCTGATAGACCGGCTTGTGAGTCAACAATGCGTGGTGTATTCTTTCCAGTGTAGCCTGTGTGATGCAGGTTATGTCGGCTACACGTGCCGACACCTACACCAACGAATTGAAGAACACAAAGGATCGGCAATCGGAAACCACCTCAGAGAGCAGCATGATATGGAGCCTGAAGACATCGCACAAAGTTTTAGAATCTTAAGAAAGTGTAAGAACAAATTTGACTGCCTTATTTTTGAAATGTTTTTTATCCAAGAACTGAAACCGACACTTAACAAACAGTGCGATTCAATTCGCGCCAAATTATTTGTTTAGAGTAGTTCTTGTTAACATTGTTTTATTTCCATTGTTTTTTGACTTTATAAATATTTTTTTTAGCACTTTTTACATTTTTACATATTTTATCACATTTTAGCGTTCACCACATTTTTATCTATTATAACTTGCTTTTAACTTATCTATGCTAATTTAGAGAACTTTTATACACTTGAAAATGACCTCGGAGAGGTCGAAACATCGTGATTTTTTATCGCTAATATTTATCGCAAAATCGATTTCTAAGAAACTACTTATTAACATGTATAATCTATCTACTATTTGAAAAATCTCCTTAAAGCCTGGTTCACACTTGCGACATGATGACATAACGACAACAACGTAATAATAACTGAAGAAGCTTATGTTGCTAATGTAAACATCAACATATAAATGACATTATTGTGAGTAAAAAAAATAGATGGAGGAAAAGACTCTCCTTAATTGTTGTGCTTGCCTATATTTTGATTCGTTTACAGAAACAATAACATCAGCATTAAAGGCTTCAAATCATTACCCCTTAAATCCCCACTCCAAACATCTGGGAGACTGTACCACTTGGTCTCAAGTGTCTACCATATCATAAGTTTTAGAAAGATATGGATGTCCTATCTTCTAATAAATCAAATCTGATCTTAGCCTTGAATTGCTTACTGATATTATTTGAGATTTTATTTCCTCTCTTGCTGTTGCCAATTAGCTGAACATGACGATGTCCAACAAGAAAGCTCTTGCTACTTTGGACACTGTACACAAATGAACTTAATGTCTTTTAGCTCAATGATCATTAAACAGCTACTTTGTTCTTTTACTTACGTACACTTGTGTAAATGCCTTACATAGTGTGAAATAAAGAAAGATTGAAGATTGCTTTCACCATTTTTATTATTTTTTCTTTTCCTTTCACACATTATTCTTATTTTGTGGTCTTTAAGGTTTTGTTGTATAGGACAGGGTATTTCTGAACTTTTTCTGATAGCAATTTGTCAATATCTTCATGAACTTTAACAAATCTATCATAACATCCTCCCCTGAAGCCACCATTTTGAAAGCTGCACCCAAGGAAGACTAAGTTTGATAGTTTTTGAGAAGCTCCAATTGGTTCTTTGTTATATCATGTTGAGGGTGTTTCACGCTTGTTTTTACTTTGCATAATTTAAACATAATGACAGACTGAACGACATAAAGACAACATCAGTTTTTCCTTATGTCGTTATGTTCATGTCGTTATATGTTGTTGAAATGTCGTTTTATCAGCATCTTCGCACTACAAACATAATCACATAACCACCTTCTTGTGCCATTATGCTCACGTCATAATATTGTTTTGTCACAAGTGTGAACCAGGATAATTTATTATTCAAAACAGATAGCTTTGCAGCATACTATTAATCAATTTTTTTTACTAACAGACTATTTAAAACAAGGTAAATAAGAATAATATAATAAAAATCATAAACTGGTGTTGCCACGTATGAAGTCTTAATTAGAATAGCACTATTACAAAGGGAGATGTTAGCTGAAATGAAAAATAGCGCATTGAAAATGCTTAACCCATTCGCCCCTGAACCGCCCGTAACCGCCTGTGCTGATCCAGGTCCTTTCTACCCTTTGTGACGTCATCAGTTTTAATGGTCAAGGACAACTTTCTTCGCTAACTTGTACAGAGTGAAGAGATCTTTCAAACCATACCAGAATGAGCACAATTCAGTCAAGGACACCGGGGAAAGAAGCAAAAAACCACGTGACAAGGACCTGAAAATCTCCATGAAAATCTTGTTCCATTACCCACCTACCTTTCCTTTCACCTAATCCTAAGATCCTAAAAGCTTTCCTAAAAACTCTTCCCACCAAAATGAAGCCAACTAAATGCCCAGCAAGAGAAAAAAAAAATGAGGCAAGTAAAGCAAAAAAAGAAGGGAGGAGAGAAAGCGAAAAGTAAAAGTCAAGACTGCTGTGTCACTTTTAAACCCAAACACTATCTCTAAATTTTGCTTTCTGCGCATGCCCGAACTTCGCAAGCTGATATTTTGCATCTGGATCAGAAGGCCGCCAAGTGTACGACCTGTAAACTGGTTTGTGGTAAGTTTTAGCTCTTTATAGCACGACAGTGACCAGAAAAAGATTTTTCGGCAAAATCTCCAGGAGCAAATGGGTTAAAGCGGTACCACTTGGCTTTAGCCAGCGAACACAGATCTATTTCAGGTCATCGCTTCTCTCCACTCAAGAGAAATCTGTGTTTGCAGGCTATACTTCACCATGCGCTCAGTGAATGATTGAGGATGGTCATTTTTCATCCCCACTGTGGGGCATTTAATGCCTCCCAAGGCCAAAAAAATGCTAATGCCATGAGTGCAGCTGGAACTGACTGATGCATAAAAGAGTAAAAATCTGCATCACATTTCACTTTTATGCTTAATTAACTTAAACGAATCTGTGCGAAACGTATGCGATGAGCTAAGAAACGCACTGTTGCTCGCGGGCTCTCGTAGTGAGCTGGGGTACCTGTGTTCACAGTTACATGTCACGCAATCTTTCCACAAGGTCAGAAGAAAGTGGAATTACCCAGAAGTTTGTTTTAAATGTGATCAAGCTGTTCAAAAGTGGTTTCTTATAGAAGATTAGCAAATGGTAAAACTTACGTGTGCAGGCTAAACTTGTTTTGATTTGTAGCGCAATTTCATGGTTCACTTCACTGCTACCCCTGAATTCCCCCAGGTTGCTCAGAAGATCCACAAACGTTGGTTTCAACCGTCTGCTTTCGATGAATTCACAAAATGCAGTCACATGCTGTTGATTCACACAGCATCCCTGAGTAAGGAACAACGACAGCAGAGATTTATCAACACCATCGTCACATCGAATACTGTAAGAAGGAATCTTTTCTGTCCGTTGCGTTCTAGAACTTGTTTTGATTTCAAATATTTCGACCATCCACCATGGAAAGGAGAACATGCTGTCAAATCGAGCGCGGATCACTTTCTCCCCCTTCAAAACAAAGCTTCCGTTGATGTAGTCTACTTCTTGCAGTCTTTCTCCCACACATCGAGTTTTTGTTTCGTCCTGGGATTGATATTTTCCCGTAGCGATCTGAATGATGTCGTTGTAGTCAGGATTTTCGAAATCGTCATTGTCGCTTTCACTGTCGGGTTCAGAGTTCCCGCCATCGTCTTTAGCATTTTCTTCTTTCGGCAAGAAAAAACCTCTAAAGTTTACCATGATGTCTATATCCTTTGTGACGACAACTCATTTCATTTACATTAAGCGGTTTAATTCCTTTGGACGAACGAAAACAAAAAACCTCATCCTTCACCAAACCGTCGCCTTCTTTGCGTTACGGCTTGTGTTACCACAGGTGGCCCAAGCTCACTACAGGAACGCGGGCGTGACTCTTGCTTACAAGCGGCATTGTGTTACAAACGGTTATTTACAAAGGGTTGTATAGGATGTAAACAGTTTTTCTTAAAAGGGAGAAAAAGTGTCATTTTTTTGAATAAAATCTGCTTACCTTATTGCCTTGTTGTATTCTTTGTTGCCGCCTGTGGTGTTACACGAAGGTTCTCTCTGTGATATGATAACCGGGTTAATAACCGGGTTAAGACTGGGTCGAGAAATCGTGCTTGGCGTTCTGCCTTCGGTCAATTTGCAGTTTTTTGTGAAGAAGAACGATGGGGGGAGAGGGAGGGGGGCTTAATATATATAGAGGGGGGGTATTTACTCTCCTCCTCTTAAAAAGGGAGGGGGGGGGGTATAAGAGAAGGGGGGCTTCATAGAGGATTTACGGTACGCCTGCAAGTTATGACCCTGCGTTCCGGCGAGGGAGGGGGGTACTCCCAAACATTTCGGATAGGTGTGTGTCACCAAGGGTCTTTAAACCCTGAAAGGAGCCAGGGCTTCTGCAGGAGCACATGACCCTGACCGTGTTTAAGGATGGGAAAAAAGAAAACTGCCTGAAAAATGAGACCCATTTTGAGGAAAAATAAAAAACTAAGAACTTTACGGAAACAAATAAACACTTCCTTAAATCGCGTTGCCGCGATTACAACGCTAACTAGGCCAAAATGATACCCTATTTAAGGATGAACACCCTCAAAAACCATACCCAGCAGGATGGGCTCCTCACCCTATCAATCGGCTCCTGACCCCATATATCTGTCTGATTTCGTTAAAGCGTGGCCACTAGGTTTCCTAGCTCTAGGCCAGTCCGGTGTCCAAAAAAGTAGGGGGCCTCGCCGTCTTGGTCGGTACAGCTGAATAACCCAGGGACTGCCCTAACGGTGGGTGGGTGGATCAGGTCTGGGGTTTAAAACTAGTGGGGTAGGGAGGGGGCTGTTTTGACACAACCCCTCCAGTAAGCAGCAGTGTTCAGTAGAGGCTTTGACTGGCAGGTACCTTGTCCTTATAATTGCAGAGCTCGGTGGGAGGAGCAGACAGTCACCCATTGTCTTGGGTGGGGAGGGTCAAAGTCTTGGTACCAAGGACGCACTTAGCATAAGACCTGTAAACACTCACTGAAGCTATGTTTTCATAAATTTAGGCAGATATATAGGGCGTGCAGCCCATATATGAGAGTACCCCACCCCCAACACTAAGTCCGGAAGAGGTCCCTTCTTCTTCTTGTCTCCCTCGCAGCCGTTTTTTTTTTTTTTACTTATTTCACAGTCATTCGACCAAGTGCTGTCGTAGTCAATACGACTAATATGGATGAAAAGCCACGATAAAATAATTTTCTTTTTTCTTTTTTCAAATGCCAAGTTTGTATTATATCACTGTAAAATCGACCATTAACTGTCAATTTACAATCTAGAATAGGTGTGCCCTAAGGCTTTTGTTTCCAGCCTGGAGTGAGGGAAGTAGTTTAGAACGCAGACGACGTACTTCCGGTTCATTTTCAGGTAGTACGATCAGTATTCTGCTTGCAGAGTTTAACTGCACTGCCGGTTGTCGCTTCTCTCGACCCAGCAAAAAACAAAAAAGTTGGCTGGAAGAGTGACCCGTCTAGCCGGGTCACCCTCCTAAGCCGGCTCAGCTTTTCTACATTTAAACACTTGAGGTCGGTTTTTTAAACGAAGTCTCACTTAGACCACGGTTTAGGAAATCTTTGAACCTCCAAATCTCTTCCTTAGTAGGCTATTTTAAATGCTTTTCTAGTCTACTTCATATGCTTTAATGAAACTGTTCACGATAAGTGGTCAGCTTTGCATGAAAGCGTTTCCCAAACTGAAAATGGCTTTGGACGCGGTTTTGTTAAACACTAGAGACCTTAAGATTGAGTTTTTTCGACATTTCCCGCGAACGGCAAACGTCAAGAAGTCACGTGACTAGTACCTTTGCGTCAGGTTTGCGGTTTGAGGTTCATGTTTCTACGACTAGATCACGCTCCAGAGGTAAGTGATTTACCGCAAGGTTTTTTGCACTCTGAAACATCACACTCCCACGTTTGAAAGAAAATTTACGGAAGCCGATAAGGGACAATCCCAAAATATTTACGAAATCCGAAAAAATGTTTTTAAAATCCGAAAAAATATTTCAAATCGTAATGTTTTTTGGAAATCATCGTTGAAGAGTTTATCAAATCTGAAAAACTTTTACAAATCCTAATAAAATTATTGAATCCACATATATTATTTTGTAAATCCGAAACATGTTTATAAATCCGAGAATTGTCGCTAAATCCTGAAAAATATTTTGCAAATCCGAAAAAATATTTTGTCACGTGTTACTTGCGCCAGCAGTCTGCTACCAACAGCGGTTTGCCCCATCCAAAATGGCGCAGTTTTGTTCCACTCGTGAACCCTGGAGGCAAATTTTGCTTCAAATGTGGTTCCAAAGTTGCAGGGATTTCACATCCGAGTGCAAGAATATGTACATTCGAAGATGAGCGTGCTTCTTCCTCGTCATCTTCGAAGTCATTATCACAATACTTCACCTCCAAAGCGGAAGAACGCAGAGGATCTAAGTTTAACAAACCAAACAACTAAGCCGGTTTCAAAAATAACACGTTAACGATCCAAGACCCAGGATCCAGTTCAGTTTTCAAAGTACCTCCGTTCATATAGATCTCATGGTACTCGCTCAGCGAGTGGACAATGGTATCGTACCTAAATCCCCTCAGTTCAAAGCAATGTTCTATTACCAGCCTCTTCTCTGCCGAACTGCACAGACTTTCCTGTTGATGTCTCTTTATTGTTCCACACTGCCGACAGAATACTCCATTGCTCTCAAACTCTCTGCCACATTTATGGAAGAACTGACATCGTACTTTGTGTTATATTGTAAACGATTACAAACTCTTTATACTTGAATCAAATAAAATCTGACTAAATATTTTATAACTAATCTCAACTAAACAAGGTATCAGGAACGGGAATCTCGTTTATTGATACAGCGAACGTTTTACACTTCACCATAAAGAAATTACAGCAGTGAATGAACAATAAAGCAAAGTTGAAAGAGATGCCTTCGTGTGGCTCTTGCATAACTTATAAAATCTTGATAGCTTACAAGCCCCTAGGGATTAATCATACCTGCAAGCACGCTTTAAGTACTTCTACAGTTAACACGAATCATACATAATGAACATACTCCAGTGTCATTAGCGAAACGTGACAAAATATATTAACCCACACCCGCCCCTCCTCCCTGGGGGCTTGTAAGCTAGGGAAGAGGACGAAGAGATGAAGAGGACGAAGCACGCTCATCTTCGAATGTACTTATTCTTGCACTCGGATGTGAAATCCCTGCAACTTTGGAACCACATTTGAAGCAAAATTTGCCTTCAGGGGTTCACGATGAGTACGAGTCGAACAAAACTCCGCCATTTTGGATGGGGCAAACCGCCGTTGGTAGCAGACTGCTGGCGCAAGTAACACGTGACAAAATAATTTTTTGGATTTCCAAAATATTTTTCAGGATTTAGCGACAATTCTCGGATTTGTAAACTTATTTCGGATTTACAAAGTAATATTTGTGGATTCAATAATTTTATTAGGATTTGTAATAGTTTTTCAGATTTGATAAACTCTTCAACGATGATTTCCAAAAGACATTACGATTTGAAATATTTTTTTCGGATTTTAAAAACATTTTTTCGGATTTCGTTAATATTTTGGGATTGTCCCTTATCGGCTTCCGTAGAAAATACTCCTTTTTGGAACTCTTTCGCTAACTAAATATTGAACTATATTTCAAAAAAACGTACCTTTGAAGGAGTGAACGAATGAATAAAAACAAACATGGAAGCCTCGAGCTACAACTTCGCGAATCGTAATTTTCTAAATATGGGTAGGCGGATAACGTGAAACCTTTAACCGGAAACCGCGTGTTGCCGTTTGCGGTAAGATGGCTCAGTCTCGATCTTAAGGTCTCTACTAGCTAAACTCCGTTTAAATAACTGGCCCTTTGGCTCGACCAGCCGGGTCAACATTTTTCTCATCTGCGAGGGAAACAACAACGTCGCACGCGAATCAAGCTTTTTTCAAGTTTTCGACAGGATGGGCCATCACGAGGAGATTTCCTTGTATTTTGCCAACCCAAGACTTGAGTTAGCCTGCAAAAACATCCATTTCTCCTCGCTCCTCTGCCATATCATAAGTTTAAGAAAGAATGGAAGTCCTGTCTTCTAACCAACCAAATCTGACCTTGCTTATATGTTCTATCACTGATATTATTTGAGATTTTATTCCTCTCTTTACTGCTGCCAATTATTTCAACATGACGGTGTTCAACAAGAAAGCTCTTGCTACTTTGGACACCGTACACAAATGAACTTAATGTCTTTTAGTTAATCATTATTTGTCAGCTACTTTATTTTCCTACCTACGTACACTTATGTAAATATCTTATATAGTGTGAATAAAGAATTGAATTGAATTGCTCTTCGCCGCTGGGGACCTTCCGCGCGAAGCGTCCCCAGCGGCGAAGAGCGTAGCCTCCCACGCAGGCGTTTTTAGGGGAGCTCGTTTTTCATCCCTCCCAACAAACGCCTGCTCAACCGAAGACAACATTCCTTCCCAAGCTTAGCCAATCACATTGTACTTTCCAAATTCTGGAAAGTTGACCTTGACCGCAAGGTAATCTGATAAAATTATTCGTCTGCATGAAACACTGGGAAAGATTTCTGACCTCTAATAAATGTTAGATTTAGAGCGGCAAAAATAAGATTTAGTCAAATTTTAGAATACTCCATGCACTGCGTAACCTTAGCGAAGGAAAGAAAA